TAAACCAAAGCTTTCCATCTCAAACTTAATACTATAGTGACTCAGATGAATGACAATTCATATTTGTTTAATTACATCCTACTATTCTCAAAATACTCAACATTTCTTTCAGATATGTCCACAGAAACTGTAGCTTCTACATCCTTTTGAAGAAAATGAATTTTTGCAGTAGCCAAATATAACTAGAAATTAGGTCTATGAGTAAGCTAGTGAAAATCAAAATGAAGTGGATATGAAGAACTAAGGCTGACTTCTCATTCACGATTTTAAGATAACTCAGACCACTGTGAAGTTTTCATTTTAATCCATTCTATAAAATGAAAAACCACCCCCATACACTGAATGTTCTACACAGTTCAGTATTTTCCGTTTCATTAAAATACTTAAAAGGTTTTTTTTTTTTTTTGGCTGTGGCCGGGTTTGAACCCGCCACCTCTGGTATATGGGGCCGGCACCCTACTCCTTTGAGCCACAGGCACCACCCCAATACCTTAAGTTCTTTAAAAAAATTGCACATGCACCAAACTCAACTGCAGAGGCATAAAATGCCACCTCCCCCAATAGAAATGAGAATCATGTACCTCTTACTTTCAATAACAAACTAACTTTCACATAATAAAATTAGTAGGTGTAGAGCCCCGCCTTCATTTCTATTATCAGGCACTAACCCACAGCAGCCGCAGCTCGGTCCAGCTGCCTCTGCCTCAAGGCCCTCAGCCGAGTGGAAAACTTCTGGAAGACCACGTAGAGAAGGACACAGCTAAAGACGATGTACCAGCCATAGGCGGCCAGCAGGGAGCCCACTGAAAAGAAAAAAAAAATTTTCCAGAAACTAAAAATGACACTACTAGTTGACTTTTCCATAAAACTCAACGGTCTAGCTGAGGAATGTCTCCTAAGTAGACCGTTAAAATATGAGCGAGAAACGCAACAACTCTGGGATCCCTGAGAAGTGACACTTCTCAACTTTAGGGCGAGTTAAGGGAGCAGTTATGAGGATGGAAGGCACAGGAGCTAGGTTTTGAAGGATGGAGAGGAGCTTATCCGACTCAAGGAAAGAAAGACCTTTCAGACCTAGGGAACCACACCCAAAGGGGTGACAGCGAGGGGATGTTAGAACTGTGAAAGGATGTAGAGGGGCAGGAGATGCCTAGAGGCGAATGGCCAGGACCGAGAGACTCCAGCAACTGCAACCGGAAGGGCTTGCTGTGCACAGAGTAAAGGACCTGCGCAAACAAGATCGCCGGCGCCGCCCAGGGAAGTGAGACTCCGGGGAGGCCTCCGGGCAAGGTCCGGGCCTGCTGCCCAGGGCTTGAGTGCAGCGCCAAGGCCTGGCTGCCGGCCAGGGTTCCCAGGCTCCAGCCCGGAGCGCAGTGGAGGACTCACCGAACATGGCGGCGCGTCGAGGAGCTGGCGGCGCGAGCCCACCGCGACTCACCTGTGACGTGCAGGAAGCGTAGCCCCTCGGCTTCTAGGGCCGGGCGCGCGGGCAAGGGCTCGGCTTCTTCCTCCATGACCACAACAGCCACAGGCCCAGTCGCGTCACCGCCAGCCGAGCTCTTCCGGCCTGGCCTTACGTACACGTGGCGCGCCCGGACGCCCCCGCAGTCCGGACCAATCACGGATAGACCCCACCCGAGCGCTCGGCCTATCGTAATGGGGGTGTGGCTGGGGCGGGGCGAGACGGGGACTAGCAAACTCGCCTAACGCTAGTTGGGGTGGGGTCCTGCTTGCTGCCAGCTTGAATGAGGGTCGTCAACTGACCCCTTTAACTGATTTCTTATTAAATTTTTACCTTTTTATTGATTGGACAAGGGAGCGATCGCCCGGAGACAGGATTTGTGCTCATATCCTGGCCCCGGATACATTGGGTGACTGAGCTCACTCAGCAGGTTGATGACTCCCAGCCATTGAGGGGTGCAGCCCGGGTCAGCCCTTACAGAGGTGTACAAGAGGTGTAAGTACGTATGGGCAGCCAGGTTACCTTTCAGGCCAAGAATGTCCCCACCTCAAGGGACTTACAAGGTTTCCTCTACTTCTTGGGAATGATCAGAGTAAAGGCTCCATCATGTGTTGAATTTTACTATGTGTCGCATTATCACAGGATTATTTATGATAGCGCTCTCGCTGTTTCCTTTTCTTGCAAAGCCCTCCTCTGCTGTCTTCCACCAACCAAATGTCTCCACCTCTGTGGTGACTATAACCACCCTATTAGAAATTTGACCTTGAGGTTTCTTTGGAGAAACATTTGAAGTGCACCTAAAAATAAGGTGACCAGATTTTAACATTGGTAAAGCCGGACACCATGGGGGGGGGGCGGGGCCTGATAACTGCAAACTTTGATAAGCAGTTATCCATAATCAGTTCTCAACAATTATTTGTTATTATTAAAGTTTAACATTATAAAATTAACAAAAATAATATAAAACTCATATCCTGGCGAAATAGCCACATGGCAACCAAAAACCGATTATTCCCTTCCTTTTCTCCAGTGTCCCCTAGCTTGTTGTGGGGCTTTTTTAAAATGCCAAAATGCCCCAGGACAAAGGACAAATTGTTAAAAATCAGGATTGTCCCGCCAAAAGCAGGACCTTACTCTAGAGCCACCTTACTCTAGAGAAGGGGGAGCTACTTGTTTGTTTCAGACAGTTTGGCTCCTTCTGAGCTAATTGTCCTTTCCTTAGAAGCAAGGGAGGGAGCCAGTCTCCTACTGATACCTTGCCCAGGAGGGGAGTAGGGAGTTTACATTAGCCTTTGCATTTCCAAATGAAGTTACATTAACCTCTTCATTCCCACATGGAGTTACATTAACCTTTTCAGCAGCCAAAAACCGTATATTTCCTTCCTATTCTCCTGCTGTTCCCTAGCTTGTCATGCATTTTTTCCAAAAATCGGGGCTTTTAAAACGCTGCAGGTCGTGGGACAAATTGTAAAAATTGGGACTGTCCCACCAAAAGCGGGAAGTCTTGTCACCTTACCCTTGTATATACTTCTCATGCTTTGCCAGGTTAGTCAGCTTCTCCTAGGAGACACGTAAAACCATGCAACCCTAGTTAATCCACAGATCTGCAGTGATGAGCAGAGCCTGATGTGACAATAGTGGTTAATTAAAATCCCTGAGTTTTGGGGTAGCTTGTTAGGCAGCACTACTGTGGCAATAGTATATGCAAGAAGATGGCATTAAGGATGTTGGTAGCTAAGGGCAATCACAAAGAGGGCAATCAAACTTTTTCAAACATAGGAACAAGGAACCACCCTCTTCCACAACATTCTTGAAGACTCCCAATGTAGCTTTTAAATTATGTTAATTATGCACATGTATAAAACTAGATACACCTATAGAGGTCAATAAAGTTCTCAAACCCATCCTAAAAAAAGTGCTACATTCCTCATTGCCAATATCACTATGGTTACCTTCGAAGTACTCTCCTTGGAAGCTATGCACCAATACCAGTACCTAGTCCACACTTCAAAGCAATTGTGGAATGGCCATCAGAACTATCATTGTATGAGGTTAGACAATTAAGTTCACGAACTCATCCTAGAAAAAGTGCTTTGAAGGGTGGATTAGCTGCTGACATAAGTGCCCTCCCAAGGGGAGTGCTTTGAAGACGACCATAGTGATATTAGGCAATAAGGTATGCAGCACTATTTCTAGGATGAATTTGTGAATTTAATTATCCAACTTCCTATTTCCTAAATTTATAATTCTTAGAAACTCAAAACCAGACCATTTACTGATTATATACCAACACTACAAAACTAATATTCAATGCAGTTCCTTAGAAAGGGACAAAGGTAACACCTAAGCCTTGCTAGGAAAAATCAGCCAGGGTGTTGAATGACCGTGTCAACTGGCACAAAATCTTCTGCTATAACATGATAGAAATTATCCTGAATGAACTGCATGCTCTGCAAAATTGCACACGGAAAATACTGAGCTGTTGGGAAAATTTGAGTTGGGCCAAACCCAAATTTTCTGGTCCTGAAACACAGAGATGGAGGCTGAAGGTTGCACAGGAGTCTTCACTTTCCTCTGATTAGTTTTCCAAAGTCCTCACCTGGGACAATGGCATATAGTGTAACAAGGCACCCTTTGACTTTTTATTACCAGGCTTCAAATAGTAAATTTTGGGGGCGGTCAAAGTAATCTTGCTCAGCCCAGATCAATTAAGGGAATGGTATTGAAGTCTTTCATATTACTATCAGGTGCTACAGTCAGGGCCAGGGACTCAAGGAAAGGTATTCTTAGAGGTAAGGAACATGATCAGAGAAAAGTTATCTTAGGACACAGACACTTAACTGCAAAAAACTTGTCATCCCTGAGGCTGTTGACTTGCCACAGTCCCTCCCAGTAAGTTGGCTCATAAATGATAGGAACAGGGAGCTTCCCTGAATCTTAACTGTGGAAAAGACAAATGAAATCATTTCAGTTGTCCTATCAGAAACAGAAGCAACATGTAACAGAAGGGCTATGTGGCAGCAAAAAAGGCAGGCCCACTGGCACAGGTCATGAAAGATGTTATAGGAATAACAGCCCAGGGATCCAGCCCAGGAAGAAGCATATCTAAAAGACCCAGGCACGTCCTTGTGTCCTAATCCCAAAGGCTTCTTGATGAGGGGTAGGTGAAAATGTTAGGTTACCATCCCCTCAAAGTAAATTAACAGTAAAACTCTGGGTTTGTAAGTCCATCTACTGTATGTATCTGGTTTATTTCTTGGGTGCCTAAATGTCCCAGAAATTCATAAGAAATTTCAATCTCCAAAACTGCCAAGAAGATAAAACTTGAGAACAATGCAATGCAATCTGCTTTGGACCACTAATAAATGGTTTATAGAGGAAGTCCTCCTTAAAGGAGCTGGAAAGGCATTGCCTTAGGGTCACATTGAGGAAATTGAAAGGCCAACTGACATCTGGAATGCTCCATCCCATTCTCATCTTTCAGTTGCTTCTACACTGAGGCCTAAAAGCACTGTTTCTTTTTTTTTTTTTTGTTTAAATTCAATCATTTTTATTTCAAATGTATTTTTAAAATCATAAATGGGGTTTTATAATCCAAAGTTGAAACATTTACTCTTCATAGCTTCAGAATTTCACAAGCAATTCTAGAACATGCTTTCCAAATCCAGCCTTCTTTGCTTTCGGACTTCTTGAAAAATCTGGTATTTGAACTACTCCATTCTAAACGTGTAATTTTAGATCTATCATACGCTTGCTGACAAGAGTTTTCCAAAAACAATCTACAAAATATAAAGAATGGTTTCTACCCAAAAATCAGCAGTGAGAGAAGAAATATTAAACACATACCAAGAAATCATTTATTCATTTAAAAAAATAACAGAACCAGTGCTGTTCTCTGTCATAAAAGAGAACATGTAAAATTATTTTTATAGACTTTGGTAATATTTTATTCCCTACACAGGCCTCAGTCCTACTTAATGATCTTTTATGCAAAGTAACCATGAGGATTTACTGAGTAAAAATCCCAGGTATGAACATGGCCCTACATGTGCTATTCCACAGAGGAACAGGTGACTTTGAGGAAAAGAGCTGCCATGGTAACTTCCCTCAAATGCTTATTTTAAATAAAAATAGCTAATGAAAATATTTGTTAAAGCAACTTTGGGTATTATATACCATGCTGCCCACCCAACAAAAAAGGAAATGAAAACATCCTTTCCTTTTATAGGACATTTTCCACCTTTACTTTAAAAATTACATCTTATTCATTTTTGTGGGTTTTTTTATGTTTTTTGACTAATTCTATATTTAAATTTCTAAAATTCTGCATTTCAATATAGTACGAGTTCTTTTTCAAATGATCCTTACAACCCAGAACACTGACACCAGAACGACATTCTCAAGTCACATTGTTCGACTATAATGAAGTAAAATATGAAAATGGACGGATGTCTGAACACAAGTATTCTCTCTGCTCTGAAGGTGAGAGCAAACTTTTAACATATGAGCAACACAGAACTCCATTCCTCGGGAGCCCCCTCAAACTCAGAATGCTTCTGTCTAATAAGTCAATGTATTAGTCTTAAAAATTAAAGTTTGGTCTCTAAGAAGGACTGAACAAAATTTATTCCTGTCCCCCAACAACAACCAGAACAGCTCTAATCAGCCCTTCTTCTCCCCACAAAAACAGGGAAGTAGTTGGGGCTGAAGATTTTAAATATGAAATGTCAGCTCCTAAAACAATCCTATTTGCTCAAGGCTGTAGATCTTTATATTTCCTTCTCCAATACTCCCCCATTTATAAGTTCATTTCCATACATACACACATGCACACACACAAGCACACACACACTCACTCTCAAGTAAGACACTTTTTTGTGTTTGTTGATAAATTATGATTATGAACTAGGTATATACGGGTTTCATAGGTGCTTTGTAAACATCAGAGTCACTTGGGTCCTTTTCTCCAAAGCCTAAAATCAGATTTTACAACCAAGGATCCACTACTTTCCCACACGCTGTTCACAGGCTGCATACTGACGAAGGGCAGAGAGAAAGTCCTCATAACTGATGTTCAGGTGGGAAGGCAAAGAGATAATCTCAGTCAATCTGATGTGCCAGGGAAGATAGCCTAATGTGCTGTCCACAGGACCAAACTTCAATACTAAATCGGGATCAGGGAAACCACGTGAACTAAGTAAACTGTCTAACATAGCTACATCCAAATCTGTGGGTCTCTTTTGCTGCTGGGCTACTAATTGGCAAAAGTCCTGAGCAGCTCTCACAATATCTGCTTTTCCATCTTCTGGGGACAGCACCTTGACTGCTGAATGGCAATTTAAAACTTGATCATCTTTGTCATTACTATTCGCAAACTCTGGTGAGTATTTTGAACAATCTAGGCCCAGAAGTTCCTGCTGTTGTTTTAAAATTTCATCCATTAATCTGGAATTATTTCTTTTGAAAATACCTTGGTGGTCGTAGACACTAATGTAGGAGATGCCCACGGCCATACACCACACCACTAGGCTCGCGATGTCTGAGAAGCTGGGTTCCTGCTCCTCTTCGGTGATCACCAGGCCCATGTGCACAGGCAGCTTCTCCAAGGAACGGCCGTCCGCGCGCCAGCGCAGCCGGGGGTGGGCGGCGACCGGGCCCAGACCCCCGCGCGGGTGCCGGTGGTGACGGCGGTTTTTGCCGACGGCCGGAGGCTTGCGGAGCGTGAAGCCGAGCGGCGCTAGGACCGCAGCAGAGGCAGCGCGGCAGCAGCGCCGCCAGATCCAGTTCCAGGTACCGAACCGAACGCGGAGCCAGGAGGTGAGCGTGCGGTGCAGGCAGAGCAGCGCGTGCAGCACCCGCCACACCAGCTCGTACAGCCCCGTCATACTCTTGTGGCGCTCGGGCGCCCTTACCTCCCTCCTGCCCACACCCGCGGCGCGAAGTCTTCCTATCCGCCCCTGCAGCCGGCTCGGGCCATAGCTCCGCGTCCCCCCGCCCCCCGCGCCCGAACCCCTTTCCACTGCCAACACCTCACCTCGCCCCAGCCGCCATCTTCCTCCTCCCCTGGCAGCCCCGCCCCCGATAGTACCGAAAAGCACTGTTTCTTATTTTCCCAGCCAGGCTGCCATCCTCTGAAGGCACAGTTCCTTCCTGTCTTAGGTATTTTTTGATCAGCAATCACCAAAAACTGTCAGAAGACTATTTAGAAGATTGCTTCACACAGTTAGAATCACCTAGAAAACTTAAAAAACTAAAACAAAAAAAACCCAAACCAAAGAAACCAGAATACCTAGTAGAGAGCTGAAGGCATTAGTATTTTAAAAATCCTTCCTAGTAAGTCTCATATTCAGTCAGGGTTAAGGAATCATTAAGTGACAGAATTCCAGGGATGCGGAGGGGCACTGCTTACTAGGGAAGGCCCACAGACAAAGAATGCAGTGAGCACTGGGAACTGAGCAGTGTGCCATAGCCAGCCCACCAGAGAAGCTATAACTCCCCTACTATGTTCTAATGCTGCAAAATGCTGCTCTTCTGCTCATATTCCAGCACCTGACAAACATAAGCCACATTTCCTATCTGTCATTCTCCAATTAACAATTTATTAATTTGTATGATGTTTGTAGGCAGTTAATTCAAAAGGTCAAAGGATGCTTAACAATGAAAGTCCTAATGCCTGGTTGCCTTTTATGAAGAATTTGAAAATGTAAACATTCCAGAGGGCAGGAAAGTTTACCTAGAAACTACCCCCTCCCACATTTCCATCTTAAATATGTCCTTAGACCTCAGTGCAAAAACACCTTGATGACACACAATTTGGCAGCCCAGAGACTGGCCTTTATTTTTAATATTTGTAGAAAACTGACGTTTAATTTCAAAACTTATATTACAAAATTATCAGCAGCAGTTTTAAGCATTTCAACAGTGCTGACAGATTTCACTTTGCTGACACAAATAAGCCTATTATCCCACGCTCAAAAAAGAAGAGGTGTCCCAAGAGGGCCTATTATACATCCACCACACTGCTCAGGACCCATTGGTGACTGTGTCTTCTTCCATCTCTTCTTCACCATCATCAGTGGGCCCTAAAAGAAAACCACAAAACCAGAAGTCATATCAGTTTTAGAGAATCTGCGTGTATAATATGAGAGTGCCCATTCTGTAGCTTCTGTGTGCTAGGCACTAGACTAGACACAAAAGGCCAAAAGCAGACCCTGGGGGAGTATACAGACCATGGACACCCTGTCTTTGGGCAGGGATCAGAAGGGATGGGTAATTTCTAAGGAAAATGGTCATAAAGATGTTTTATGAAAGTCAAAACCACTGCCTCCCACTGCAATTGACAACAGTCTGTGTTGAGTGAGGTTAACAATACTCGTGTATTGTTCTTGCACTACCATGTACAGTAAAACTAGAAATTTTTAAAACTAAAACATTTGGGCATCTACGACATGCCATACTGGGAACAGGCAGTAACTTCATTAGTCTCTAATATATTAGGGAAATATGGCAAGAAACATCAAAAGATTGCTACATTTGTTCAACAACTGGAAAAAGAATACATTTTGTTCAATGTCTTCTGGAAAAAAGTTTTAACCTTGTTAATTTTTTTGGAAAATTACTCATGTTTGAATCTATTTTTCTAAAGTTAGAGCCAAACATCAGATTTCTAGATAAAAAAACTACCAGAGAACACCAGTAGGAAGTGCCACCTGGAAGCCTGGGCCTGTTGAGACCTAGTAAATGGGGCACCAATGTGCCTTCAGATTACATTTAAAATCCCAAGAGATACCACGGCCTAAATAAAACATTCCGTGGGAAGCATATCAATTCAGTAATTGTCATGTTATAGTTACAAAAAGCAGTTTTGATGTGGTCCCCTCCCTAAACCTGTCTGCACTGAACTTTTGAGAGATTTTCTAATGTTCTCAAGACTAATGGTCTAATCCAGAGGTCCTCAAACTTTTTAAACAGGGTGCCAGTTCACTGTCTCTCAGACTGTTGGGAGGGCCAGACTACAGGTCCCAGTAGAGTCAGCTGCTAAGCAGGACAAGCAGCAGTGGCAAAAACACCTGGTGGGCCGCATGTGGCCCGTGGGCCGTCCTTCGAGGATGCCTGGCCTAATCCATCATGCAGCACCCTATGTGAGCTTACTCCCTGTCATCTTATCTGGCCACATTCCCTCCTACCCTCCTTGCCTGAGCTTCATTCACACTGGCCAACTTCAGTTCAGGTGGGTCTGCTTTACCACAGGTTGTTGGCCTGTGCAGTTCCTTCTGCCTAAAATGCCTCTTTTTTGTCCAGTTCAGCAGTTTTCATACTTTTTAGTTAGGACCCAAAGAGCTGTTTTTTTGGCAGCTTTTGGCCAGGGCTGGGTTTGAACCCGCCACCTCCGGCGTACGGGGCCGGCGCCCTACTCTTTTGAACCACAGGCGCCGCCCAAGAGCTCTTTTTTACATAGCTTGCATTTACTGATCCTATAGCAAAAGTTAAAAGTGAGGGTTTTCAAAACAGTAATTCACTAAAACAATAAATCTACTACATGTTAATATTCACATGATTACATATCTCTGTCACATCTCACTTAACAGCAGTCAGATGGACTCTTACTGGCTTCAGCATTCCCTTGTTAACAATACATGATTATGAATGGAGGGTAAGAAGTAAATCTGGCCACACAGACATACAATTAGAAAACGAAGGATATTTTAATAGTCTTTGAAGATAACTGTGGATGTTGCTTAGATTCTATGCCAAAACTTAACAAGTGGTAGTTTCTTAAAAGTTAGTTTGCAATGTGAAGTCTGAAACTCTATCAATTAACTTTTCATACCCTCTTACTTGAAAATCTATTGGTCTATTTTATTCTTTTTTTGTTTTATTTTGGTGAGACAAACTCTCACTCTATCACTCTAGGCTAGAGTACCACAGCATCACAGCTCATAGCAATCTCCAACTCTTGGGCTCTGAAAGAGAAATCCTCTGCCTCAGCCTCTTGAGTAGCTGGTATTACAGGTACCCACCACAATGCCAGGCTAGTATTTCTATTTTTTTAGTAGAGATGGGGGTCTCGCTCTTGCTCAGGCTGTTCTCTAATTCCTAAGTTCAAGCAATCTATACACCTCAACCTCCCAGAGTCCTAGGATTATAGGCATGAGCCACAGTGCCCAGCCTATTTTATACTTTGAATGGATCCTTTAATCATTCATGATTTTGTAACATCATTTGTAAAACAGCAGTTCATTGAATTTTGTAGAGCTTATAAATTGCTGAGCTATTTCATTACACAGAATCAAAAAAGTCATATCCGTTAATCCAGATCCATTAATATTACCAGTGATTTCCCCAGAAAAGTCTTTAAATACCAGGAAGCTGGCAAAGCCACAGTGACAGATTCAAGTTTTCCAAAATTTAATTTTTGCCTGAATTATTGGATTTATCCAATAATTATCTAATAATCCAATTATCTAATTGGATTTATCCAATAAATTATCCAATAATTTAACTAACAATAAATACTGTTAGTTTTATTTGAAGTGACAGGCTTACTTCATTCATGGTTGAGACGACAGCTGCCTCTCTACTGAAAACAAGTACATTGGTGCATGGAGGTAACCATACAAGTCAGGTGTGCATATGCCCTGCCCTGTCACCCAGCAAAAGGCGATATTTATTTATTTATTTATTTTTGGAGACAGAGCCTCAAGCTGTCCCCCTGGGTAGAGTGCCATGGCATCAAAGCTCACAGCAACCTCCAACTCCTGGGCTCAAGCGAGTCTCCTGCCTCCGCCTCCCAAGTAGCTGGGACCATAGGTGCCCGCCACAATGCCTGGCTATTTTTTGGTTGCAGTCGTCACTGTTGTTTGGCGGGCCTGGGCTGGATTTGAACCCGCCACCTTAGGTGTATGTGGCTGGTGCCTTAGCCACTTGAGCCACAGGCGCCCAGCCAGGTGATATTTATTAAAATAACTTTTCATTGCTTCATCCAAGACACTGTTAAGTGAAAAGGGCATATATGTTACTGGGCATGCATAGCAGGAATCTAATAACATTTTGGCCGCTGCCATGACTTTTGCTGAGGCACTAGCAGTTCTACCCACCATTTCTCTTGCTCCAGAAGCGAATAACACCTTGGTGTTACTACAGAAATAATTTTGACCTTGGTGACTCCCAGAGGCCCATGAACCACTATTAAGATTCACTGGTCTTAAAAAATGTCTTACTCATTTTAGGTCCCAGATCACACATTATTTCCCTAGGAAACTTTCCCTGAAATAGCAGATATAAGTCCCCAGTTATATTCTTACCAAAACTTGTAATATGTATATATTTGAGTATTTTTTTATTTTATATGCCATTGCCCAACATGTTGCATTTGAAAATTACAGTAGTTACCACTTATCCTAAACTCAATAATGTCAAACCCTGTGCTAAGCATCATTATCTCTTAGTTATTTCAATAACCTTCTAAGGTCTCAGATTTAAAGAGGAGCAAATAGACTTGTAGAAACTTGCCCAAGGACAGAGCTGATGAAACTAAGATTTGAGTCTTACTACTGTGCTCTCTTTCTCACACACATACCCCTACTGACCCACACAAAGTCTATAAGGTTACCTCTTGGGTTCAGTCTACCCCATGGTTTTCAAACAACACTCGCTTCATTATTTCATTTTACATGAAAAATTACTCCACAATCCTGTGACTTAACTTTTTTTTCTTTTTGAGACAGAGTCTCACTTTGTCAGTAGAGTGCCATGACGTTATAGCTCACAGCAACCTCAAACTCTTGGGCTCAAGGGATTCTCTTGTCTCAGCCTTCCGAGTAGTTGGAACTATAGGTGCCCGCCACAACACCGGGCTATTTTTAAAGATGAAGTGTCACTCTGGCTCAGGCTGGTCTCAAATTTGTGAGCTCAAGCAATTCACCCACCTCAGCTTCCCAGAGTGCTGAGATTAAAGGCGTGAGCTACTATGCCCAGCCCCTGTGACTTAACTTTTATCATGAAATATTTTATCTTCAAAGAGCATTTAAAAGGATTTCATGTACACTGGATTTATTCTTATGTTATAGCATCTAAGGGAGCACATTAAGAGAGTTACACTGTGAGTGTAGCATTGACTTAAATGTATGAACACACAGCACCACTTTCTAACCTGATCTCCGTTCTCTGCCAGGGATCTGACCAGATTGCAGCAATCCCTTCAGCCTCTCCACTTCAGCCAGAGTTGACGCATTTGCTATGGCATTCTGGAGGACAGAAGACAATGAAGATGGACAATTAATTTCAACTAAGTACCAATTACCCAGTAAACACTTACTGAAATCCATAACTTTTCAAGTTGGAACAGTAAATAGTTCTGTGTTGGGGGAAGAATTTCACTGGCATGCTGGAAATGAAACTTAGATACCAAATCATAAATTTTCAGAATTGGTGGAGATGTAGGCCTCTTATAAAAAGAGCAAATTATTATGCACGTGTCCTAGAATTTTAGCTAAGTGAAGTACCAATTTGGAATTATATTACTGGATAATTTAGGAGGCAATTATTTTAAAATTAAGATTTCCCACTGATCATTCAACAGGATTTGTTAAACAGCATATCTTTGAAAGTAAAAATTCAGGAACACACTGAGACAACATGCCAAGGTAACAACTAACTTTTCAAAATAATAAATGTACCCTGGGACAATGAAATAGAGGTGCCCCACCTCAACTGGCTTATGTAATTATAGAAATATAGCTGTATACCACTAATAAATGTGGAAAAATTGAATCTGCAGTGTTCCAAACTTGTTTATTACACATTAGTGTCCTAAACCCACATCAGGTCTCTCTTGAGTCCAAGAATCCTAATACATCATTACCTTGATTGCTTCTACATCCCCTGGAGATGGCCCACCTTTCTTTTTGTCAGTTGGCAAACCAGCACCTGGATTAAAACTTGGGAGGGGTAGAAGAACACAACTGTTAAACCCAGATCAACAGAAATTGCTTCTCTTTTACTTTCAAAAGCTTTTGAAAGTAATTCAACCAGTGTAGTATCTTATCTTTGTTAACAAACTGATACAAGAACTCTTTCCTTCAGAAACACTACCCAGTTCATCTTTCTATAGAGAAAACAGGACATATACAATACCACATTAAGACTGAATACAGAAATAGCTGCTCTGCTAGCCTGGCAGAAATTTCTTCTGATACAGGGACCACTGACGGTCATGTACTACTGGCACTCAAATGAAATACCTTATTAGTCACAGTGTTTTGTTAATTTTGTAGGAGGCAAACTGCCAGAGAGATAGTGTTTCTGAAGGTGAAGTGGAGTTAAGTTGGATATCCGTATCTTACGTTTTGCTTCTCCTGGCAATATCCTTTGCAAGCTGTGCACCCCGTTTGCCCTTGAACATTTTCTCTGCTTCCTGACGCTCCTACAGCAACACCACACACAGAGTTAATGGAAATAGGAATACCACATGCATTTAGATGCATTCCTCAGTAAACATGGAAGTGAACGCTCCTAAAGTACTCTGGGCTGGTAAAAAAATACCAAAAAGCCAATTTTGTGTTAAATGAAGACACAGTGGTCTTGCCTTCTCTGGTGAAGCTCCCTGTAGAAAGTTCCTTCTCCTATTCAAGAGGGGACCCCAAGTAACCAATAAGGTAAAATTATATTTAAATCAACAAATAAAAACTAGACTCCCAATAAAGGAAAAAATGTTCTATGAAAGTTGCTCAAATGTAGCTTATATTATGTATTCAGCTCCTCATTAGAATGCATCTAAGCAGACAATCCATTGTTAATAGTATTCACTGTGGCTTTGACATTTTGCAAACTTTGGAATAGCCAGTATTACATAAAATAGCATTACCTCTAAGTCATACTGTGAATTCTGCTATGAAAAAAAATCCAACTCCACATTCCTCCCCCCACATTTCTATTATAAATCTAAAGGCAAAATTTACTCAAATAGGCATTTTTAAAAATCATTAAAGAAGTATAAAGAAAAACACACAACCTTATAATGACTTACAAACAATAGAATAATACTTACTTTTAGTTTCACTTTCTGGAAATCCAGTACTCTAACTTGCGGAACTTTATAAATCACATATAGTCTGTAATGCTTCTTATTTGTTACAGGATTTCTTAGAATACTACAAAAAAAGAAACAACAAATTGTCAATCTTGTTCACAGCAAAGTATTCAAGAGGTCCATCTGCATAGTTTAATGAATCTATATAAGCCAAGGAAAAGTTCACTGTTCTTCACATTTTGACATGACAATTTTAAGGAAACATCTATAACATTTGTCTTTTAAAGATACTTTTAATTAAAATAACAGATTGTTTTAAGGTTAGGCTGGTAAAAGTGTTATTTTAAAGGACTTTATTAGTTTTATTATCACAACAAAAAACTTCCATACCTTAGGTAAGTCAGTGATTTGAGAGATGCCAAAGGGTCCAGGTCGCCCTGTAAAGCAACAACCACAGGTAAAAATGCTAATCCCATGTTGACATTTTTTGAAATAGAGAGTGCCTTTGGAGTAAGTATCTATACTGCCTTTGCTTTTTCACCATTCTAGCACTTAGCCCAATACTGGCACGTCACAAAACCCTAAATAATTTCTACTGAATACAGTGGTGAATACATTTGAGCTTCTTAAAATCTTGGCATTAATAGCTTCTGTCTGAACAGCAGAAATGATAAAAAAAAAAATTGATTTCCTACAGCAATCTGAAAATCACAACTAAGCAATGATTTGGCAAAGAAAACAATGTCAAAGTTGATGGGACTCTTGCGCAACTATTCACATGGGGAACCTCAAGCCAGAATCTTGGTGTAAGGTAAGGTTTTTCCGTTAGCATTACCCTCAGGTGGTGAAGAACAAAGGCATAGCATCTTTGAGGGAAGCCCCTGTATTCTAGGTCTCCCACAAACTTCTTCAGAAAATTTTTCAAGGATAAATAGAAGTGCTGTTTAAAAAAAAGACCAAAATCATGAAAAGAAAGGGTAGTTTGTAAATCTTCCCAAATTGTTCCATAAAATACAGTGCAATAGAATAGCAAAACTAAAAACGTATGGTCAACAGCTACAAATAAACCAGATGACAAGATATTCCCTACGAATCCTAAAACAGAAACAAGTAGGTGTCAAGATGGCAGCCTGCTCTTGGTTCTTGATGTGTACTTAGCCAAAGAATAACCAGACACACCAAGGGTCAGGTCCAGCCTCTTGGCAAATTGTTATCCTGGTTCTTTGGCTCGCTGATCAGAAAAATCACAAGAAGGGGCAGTGCAATGGAGTGACCACAGGTAAGGAAGCAGTTTCACAAACAGTTTTTTATTGCAGAACAGGTCTGTCTCCCTGTGGGAGGAGGGGGGGAGTGGGAGAGGGAAAGAGGGGAGAAAGAAAGAAAGGAGAGGGGGAGAAGGAGGGAGGGAAAGAGAGATAAGGGAAGGGAGAGAGGAAGAGGGAAGGAGGAAGGGAGGAAGAAAGAGAAAAAGAAAGAGACAGAGAAACAGACACTGATTCATTGGCCTGGTCCAGTGAAAGGCTTGTGGGGGGTGTGGAATGTTATAAATGATTAACACTATCTCTTTGGCAATTTGCATCCTACAAGGTTGCATCTGTGTATGCCAGTTCCCACTCTGAAAGCCCACTAGGGGTGGAGGTGAACCGTAGTATAGATTTAAACTAATGACAAAATAATTAGCTTTAGGTTGCTCTAGATAACTTTCTAAATCTATTATGCATGGGCTGGGCAATTCCCAGATTGGTGAGGTGTTTCCTCCTTCCACAGGGGTAGCAGTTGCTTAAGATAGGACTAAGGGTGGGCAACACCAAAACAGTGCCTGCCTTATCCTTCGTCCCAGGTGGGGCAACTGCAACACCAAGGCAAGAACCCAGTTATCTACCTAATATGGGGATAAACCATTTGGAGAGCTACCAGACTTGGTTACAGCATTGGTGTACGAAGAAGGCAAGGAGGCATGTGACAAACTGCAGAACTCCAAAAAGACTGACAGCTACTCAGTCTGGAATGGCAGCTGAAGGATTGACACATTTCAGTAATGAGTACAATAAGCTTTACTTATTGAGTTTGAAGGGCCTGAGTAATTTGGGCTCTTACTCTTAACACTAATCAGAAATTGTGTCTCTTCTAAAACAAGGCCCTACAATAGGAAGAAAGTGCTAGGAAAAGATCTGAATTGAGTAGTCATGTGCAAGAGGCACAATGAGAAAAAAAAGCACATGTAAAAAAAGGAAAACAGAGCACGGAGTTCTCAAAGAGCAAGCTGTCATCTTCAAATACTTTAGAAACAACCTCAGAGGGAGCTTCAGAGCTTGATAATGTCATACCACTGCTAAAGATGATCCAAGAACAAAGAATGGAGACTTTTATTACACAGACAGTGTAAAATGGTATAGAATAAATAGGTAACAAGTTGAGAGGGTGCTGAAATGTTTAAGGTCAATCTACTATATTGTTTAAAAGGGTAAAGATATTGGGTAAGGATTAACTTTCAACTTTGATAAATATGTATGATTTAATTCCTAATGTTTTAATGCCAAGAATAATAGAAAGAGTAAATTTTTATTTATTTATTATTTTTTTTTTTTGCAGTTTTTGGCCATGGCTGGGTTTGAACCCCAACACCTCTGGCATATGGGGCTGGTGCCCTACTCCTTTGAGCCACAGGCGCTGCCCTAGAATGAGTAAATTTTTAAACCATTAGGAGGAAAAATGAAATGACAAAAGAGAACGTGTGTAACAAAGAAGAGAAAAAGAAATGCAGAATAGGTAGGATAAAGTCCCAGAAAAAGGACAAATTGAAATATATCAGTAATTATATAAAATGTAAATAGATTACATGTAGATAATTCATTTAAAAGATAGACATCAGACTGGATTAAAAAAATTCCAATCGTGCTGTTTTCAAGGGACAAATCTAAACTATAAGGTACAGAAAAGATGTAAGTAAATTTCGGATAGAAGTCCAGGCAAGATGGCTCATGCCTGTAATCCTAGCACTCTGGGAGGCCCAGGCAGATGGACTGCTTGAGCTCACAGGTTTGAGACCAGCGTGAGTCAGAGTGAGACCCTGCCTCTAAAAATAGCCGGGCACTGTGGCAGGTGCCAGCAGTCCCCAGTTACTTGGGAGGCTGAGGCAAGAGAATTCCTTGAGTCCAAGAGTTTGAGGTTGCTGTGAGCTATGATGCCATTAGAGTGTGACAAAGTTAAGACTCTCTATTAAAAAAAAAAAAAAATTTTAAAAATAGAAAATGATTAGGCAAATACTAACCAAAAGAAAGCTTCTTTTCATTTATTATATCAGATAAACTCAAAGTAAAATAGCACTAACAGAAATAGAGGGTCATTTAATAGAGATAGTCATGACATAATAAAAATGTTCAGTTCACCAGGAAGTGATTATTAACTTAAAATTTGTATGTCTAAAGTGAGATAATCCCAAGATATATACAAGTAAAATTGACAGAATTCAGGGGGATCTCAAATCCACTACTACTATGTAAGATCTTAACATATCTCTTCTTGTAACTGAAAAGACCAACAGTTTTCATATTTGCAAAGAGGTTTAAACAGAATTATACACTTATCACAGGACATATTCCTTATAAATAAGAATTTCGGGTTGAATACTTCACAAATCTTAGAAAGGACATGGCCACAGATCAGTGCTTTTTACTTTTGGAATCAAGCATCTCTTGATCTGAAGGATGCTATAGACCCTGTCCATAAGGAAAAAAAACCACAGATCACTCTAAACAATGAGGGGAAAAAGGGAAGGGAGCTAGGGTCATAACCCAAAATTAAATTAAACAATATGGATTCAGTGTTGAAGTGAAAAATTTAGGTTATAAAATAGAATATACAGTAACTCAATTTTCTTAAAATTTAGACATTCAGAGTGGAAATCTAATAAGCATAGAAATAAATACGTCAAAATAATCAGATCCACATAGCAGCAAGAAAATTGGCCCCATATCTCAATATAAAAATAAGTTCCAGCTGGATTGTTTATCTAATATGAAGAATAAAAGTTAATACTTCATCAAAAAAGAATTTTTTTTTTTTTTTGAGACAGAGTCTCACTATTGTCACCCTTGGTACAGTGCTGTGGCGTCACAGACCACAGCAACCCCGAGCTCCTGGGCTTAAGCAACTCTCTTGCCTTAGCCTCCCAAGTAGCTGGGACTACAGACGCCTGCCACAACACCTGGCTATTTTTTGTTGCAGTTGTCATGGTTGTTTTAGCTGGCCTGGGCTCGGTTCGAACCCACCACCCTTGGTGCATGTGGCTGGCGCTGTAACCATGGGCACCGAGCCAGTTCATCAAAATTTAATGTATACATAGTTTAAAATCTCCTCGTAGCTACATTAAAATAACCAGGTGAAACTAATTTTAGTAATATACCATTTAACATATTATTCAAATTATCGTTTCAACATCAATATAAAAATGTAAATAATTCACATTCTTTTTGTTGTTGTTGTTCTAAGCCTTAGAAATGTGGTATTTGACAATTCTAGCACATCTCAATTCAGAGTAGCTATCTGTCCATATACAACCCAAAAGGCCCAGATCCTGAATTAAAAAAAAAGCAAAGAAAGGATATTGAGATAATTTGTTGGACTTTGACAATTTTCTTTAAGAAGCACTTAATACCTTTAATCCCTTCCACCAAATACGTTTACTCTCTGTGCAAAACTTACCAGTTCCACGAGACTATTGTTGGTGAGAATGAGTTCTGTTAGACAGGGCAGAGCCTGATCCAGTCCCTCACCTATACGGCTAAAATAAAAATATACTCTTAGTAAAAGTGAAAATTAAATAAGCTAACAATTTAATCTGCCTCCTTATTCAGAAGATCCTAGATGTCAACACTGGAAAAGACTTGGAGATCCGCCTACTAAACCCCATGTGGCAAGAGAGGAAACTTGGCACAAAGAAGCTGTATTCAAGACCATGGGGTCAGTGACAGAGGGAGATGATTTCAGAACTCATGACTCCTGGACTTTGCCTACAGCTCTTTCCATTACCACACTGTCCAGGGGAACCTAAGAAAATGTGAGACTCCTATGTAGGACAGACCACTGAGCTCACTTGGTATTTTTGTGCAGGTAGCACAGAAATAGAAGTGACTCTGCATCCACAGTTCAGGTACTAGACATACAACTATACCACAGGGAATGGTTAACTTGTAATAAATATTTCTTTTTTTCTTTCTTTTTTTTTTTGCACTTTTTGGCCAGGGCTAGGTTTGAACCCACCACCTCCAGCATACGGGGCCAGCGCCCTACTCCTTTGAGCCACAGGCGCCGCCCCCTGTAATAAATATTTGTCTTAAAAAAAAAAAAACCCTAATTTACAACCCAGTACACCTTAAAGACATTACCTATAAACCTTCAATAACTCTTTTCCTATAAAATTTACAGAATTTCTGGAGGATCAATAGAAATCTCAATTTCAATAGATTAGTCTAGAAGTCAGTTACAGTTAAAAGCAAGCAGCAGAAGGTGTGAGGTAAAGAAAGGTGCTCAGTCAAAAATGTAATTGTTTAACTTTATGTATCCTTTTATTATGACTCTTCTGATAATTGTTTTAGAAGCCAAAAAGTGGCTGGGCATGGTGGCTCATGCCTGTAATCCTAGTACTCTGGGAGGCTGAAGGGGGAGGATCCCTTGAGCTCAGGATTTCCAGACCAATCTGCTTAAGAAAAAGACCCTGTCTCTACTAGCCAGGAATTGTAGTGGGCACCTGCAGTTGCCTCAGCTACTAGGAAGCCTGAGATAAGAGGATTTGAGGCTCAGCAGTTAAGCCCAGGAGTTTCTGTGAGCCGTGACCCCCACCCCACCCCCCACCAGCACTCTAGCCTGGAGCAACAGAGTGAGATGCTGTCTCAAAAAGAAAAAGAAAAAAAAAAAGAAGTCAAGAAGTATACAAAGCAGCATGTTTTTTAATTTAAATAAAAACTTAAAGTTTGTTTTTTTAAATGTTTTTGCAATTTTTTATTATGTAACCTACTATCAAGTCAACTGAAAAAAATATGTAACCATATAAGTTTCTACACAGTCATATCTTACCATGTCAGCCCATTTCCTTCATGGTTTCTGGCTAGCCATGTGCACTCTAGGGAGGTGCCCTGAGCCCCTGGGATGCAGAAATTTTTTTGGTAACTTTCTTCCCTGTTCAACACTCAGCCCAATATAGTTGCGCTTCTAATACTGCTCATCTCCAATCTCAGCAACTCTTATCATTTGTGTAACTGATTATCTACATTTAATTCCTTTGTTGCAACTCCAGTGTCTTTAAAGTATCCCTTTGTTCTGAAGGGGTAGGGACGGTTTCCTGGGACTGCCATAACAAATTACCACAAACTGGGTGGTTTAAAACAATGGACGCTTACTCTTTCACTGTTGAGCATGCCAGAAGTCTACACCCAAGGTGTCAGCAGGGCAGGTCCCTCAGAAACTTAAGATTGCTGAATAGATGCCCATTAATGCCAAGTTACTCTCTGGATCTCTGTGGGAAAAGTGCAGCTCATTTCTCATTTTAAACACGTAAGTTTAACTGGCAGTATGTGCTACAACTTCAGGAACACTCTAAGATTTACTCTAGGGGGAAAGAAATTACTTTCTACTAGCAGACACTTACCATATTCTGTTGTTGTTCACTAATAATGTTTTCAGTCTTCTCAACAAGGGAAAACCATCCAGTTTCCTGATCTCATTGTCAGAAAAATCAATAGCATCAAACTGGTCTAAGGTAGCACCTAGATTTTCAATGACAGGAATTTTATACCCTGTAAATTGGAAGGGGAAAAAACCACACAAAATATATTAATATAATTAAAAGGTCCCTTAAAACATTAGCAGTATTTCAAGGTAATTTGACTCAATGCTTTGATTCATTTAGGAAGTATCTACCTAGCACCTACGGCACACCAAACAGTATGCAAGGTACTGGAGACCAAATGAAGAAAGAGTCACAAGTCCCCAGTCCTGTGAAGCTTAGGGTTTGGCAGTGAATATGAACATGCTGATGACGACAAGGCATGATAATGGGGATGCTTGTTAAGAGTAATATTGGTAGCTAACATTTATGAGAGCAAGTGCCGCACACTGTTCTAAGACCTTAGAGCTAGTAGCTAAGTGGCATAACTGGAATTTACATTTTAAGTTGTTTATTATCAGTACCCAAGCCTTGTTCAGACATTGCGGGACAACAGTTCTCAACTTCCAGTGTTCTCACAGGCTAGGATGACAGAAGTCATTAGGCTTCTCATAATGTGACAGTTCTCCCATAATTATCTTCCTCCAGCTCCAATTTAGAGTTAAAGGTCAAGGGTTTATACACAATGATAAATCACACTGTGAACAATTCATTCAAATACTAATTTGGGCATAATTATTGTGCTAGGTGCTAGGAGAAGAAAAGAAAGGAGCCCAGCCAAAGTTAAGATACTTAATTCAGAGTTATACATAGTAATATCAAGTATAGCACTAAAATATTCTCAATGCTGAACGCACTTCAGACACCAACGTGTACCGAGAGTGACTATGGTGAGGCTCTTGGAATAAACCCTTCTCTAAGAAACTTGATTTCAGCAAAATAAAAGCATGGCGATTTCCCAGGAATCTAAGCAGAAAGCAAAGCCTGCAGGGGTGGTACGGGTGTGCCCGTGGGAGCAAATCCCAGACTACAATCGCATAATCTTATCCTCAAGGAAGTTGCTCTTCATATCCTCTCTAAAGTTGTCTAACTAGGTGCACTCCCAATTTCTTACCCACTCTTACTAAAGTTGAAATAGCTACTGGAATCTGAATAGTTTCGAGTGCTTCCGTAACGTAAACGAGGCACTCGGCAGTCTTGGTGAAACAGTTCGATTTTTAAAACGTCTTCATAAAAGGAAAATAAGAGACAACTTAAACAAAAAATACTGGAGGGAAATAATTGCTTTTGTTCAGAGATTTAGTTTCCTCTCTCACAAATCGCGAATAATTAACACATATCCTACCTGCACTCAAAATACCATTTAATGCATTTACTAAGAACCAACCACTCACCCTATCCTAGGTTTGCAACCATTAATAAGCCTATCTTCCCTGTCCCCAAACTGTTCAGACGTGAAACACACAAAGCAAGATATAACAGCCGCGAGTATGGCAGGAAGTATGTCAGTAGAGTCTGTGAGCAGGAGCGGGTGTAAAGGAATGTTCACAAGAGCCTAATGGTATGGGCGTTTGGCAACAACCCGAAGAATCGCGCCGCGGCTGTCAAGGCGCAGCCCAGCAAGGGGTCCAGGCTCCGGCCCACTAGCCAAGCTCCGGCCTTAAACGCACGCCGCGGGGCGCGGACTCTACGGCGGCGCAGTGCCGCCCGGGGACTGCCTGCTGCTCTCAAGACTCACCCCGGAGGTCCAGCTCCCGGTCCCGCACTGCGTTGGTGTACTGTGCCGCCTGCTCGATCAGCTCCGCCGTCAGCTTGACCATCCTGCCGCCTCCCGCTCCCCCGCACCGTAGCCAGACCTCTGCCTCCCGCCAGCGAGACGTCCCAGCGTGCCCTGCGCCCCGCCGCCAGGCAGCACCAATCGCAGTCGGCGCGCGCGCGCAGCTACACTGCCAGGCCGAAACAATCGAAAAGGCACGCGCGCGGGGTGGTTCTAGCCTAAAGAATGTCCTGGCGCCAATGTTTCTGGTTCTGGGTTTTTTCCTGAGGTGTATGTGGAGTCTGGAAGAGACCGTGATTTCAGATGTTTGTGTCCAAAAGCAACGTGTGGGAGTACTCGAGTGGAACTTTGTCATACATCGGCGTGCCTCGAGGTGGAAAAGGGAGCTGTGACGTCTTCACTCTAGCCAGGAGGGGCGGGGACCGGTGGGATTCAGTGTTGGGTGCAAAACTTCAGGTCCCTACTGGGGCCTGGGATTTGGCCCAAGGCTACCACGTGAGAACCTGGGCTAGGTCACCTGCTCCGGGAAGGCCGCTGGGACCGCCCCACCGCCCCGCAAGTCCAGGCCGGCAGCCGGCGCGGTAGGGTTTGCGGATAAAACTGTGGCCTCTAAACTTTTAAATATTTGTAGGAACTATGATATGTAGGATGGATGTATAGTGATACATAGTATTGTGCTATTGCTTTTGTCTAATAACTAATGGAACAGAGAAACTTCTCATGTGTATATTGTCCATTCCAAAATCTTCCTTCATGAAGTGTCCATTCAAGTCTCCTGCTCATTTTTTTTTTCTATTTTGTTCTCTGCCTTTTTCTTCTTTATGGAATTTCTTTATATACTCTGAATATAAACATAGTCTGTGGCTTGCCTTTTAACTCATAATGGCGTTGTTGGATGATCAGAAGCTTCTCATTTTTATGTAGTTAAATTTATCATTTTCTTTAGGGTTACTGGGTACGCCATGTTTAAGAAATCTTTTCTTATCCCTAACATATTTTCCTATGTTATCTGCTATAGTAATGCCTTTCACATTTAGCTCTATAATCCACCTTAAGGTGATTTTGACTTTTATTGGAATATGACATACAGAGAGTGCATACTGAACACACTCAAGCAACTGGGATCCTCATAAGAACGGACCTGGCAACATTCCAGAAGCCCCACCTTCTGTTCTCCCTTAGTAACTACCCTTGCCAATCACTATCCTAACATCTTGTATAGATTTGTTTAGCCTATTGTTGTATTTTTGCAAATAAAATTGTACTTTATGTATCTTTTAATATTGTATTTGTGTATAGATGTAGTTCATTTATTCTCACTGAGAGACAGTATTTCACTGTGTCAGTCTTTTACAACTTATCCCTTCTGCTGTTGATGAGCATTTGGGTAATTTCCAGTTTGGAGCTATTATAGTGTACCTATGAATGCTCTAATACATATTTTTTAAGTGAACACATAGATATACCCAGGGATAGAATTGCTGGGTCATAGGGTTTACTTATGTTCAGCTTGCATATATACTAGTTTTCCAAAGTGGTTGTACCAACTTAAACTCCTTGCTAACATTTGTTATTGTCTGTTTTTCTTAATTTTAGCCATTCTAGTAGGCTGGTAGTGGTACCATGTTGTGGTTTTAATTCTGACTGAGAATTTTTTTTTACATACTTATGTCCATTTGGATAAGCTCTTTAATTAAGTGTCTGTCTTTTTTGGATAAGCTCTTTAATGAACTGTCTTTTTTTTTTTTAACTGATTTATAGGAGGTCTTTATACTTTCTCAAAATGAATCCTTATGAGATATGTGTATAATGAATATCTTTCCCTGCTGTGGCTTGTATGTTCACTTTCTTAATGGTGTCTTTTGATGAACAGAAGTTCTTAATTTTAGTATAGTCCAATTTATGAACTTTCCCCATTAGGGTTAATGTTTTTTGAATGCTCTTTGAGAAATCTTTGCCTACTTCAAAATATGAATATTTTCTTTTAAAAGCTTTATTGTTTCACCTTTCACATTTAGATCTGCAGTCTAGAATAAATTTTGTGTATCGTTCAAGGTAGGATTGAGATATATTTTTTGCCATGTGAATAATTCACTTGACCCAGCACTGATTGAAAAGACCATCTTTTCTGCACTGCTATGCAGTGCCACTCTTATTATAAATCAAGTGTCCAAATATGTAAGGGTCTGCCTCTATACTAGTTATACTGCTTCATGGGCTTGACTGGCTATCCTTACGAAATAAACTGTCATTATTAACATAAGCTTTATAAAAAGATATATCCCTCCAAAAGGCTCCCATTCAGATTATAGTGGTTATTCTTGTCCTTTGCATTTTAATATAAATTTTAGGAATATTTTATATCTAAAAAAGAACTCATGCTTTGATTTGTATTGTATTGAACAGGGGTCCTCAAACTTTTTAAACATGGAGCCAGTTCACTGTCCCTCAGACTGTTGGAGGGCCAGACTGCAGGCCCCAGGACGAGTCGGCTGCTAAGCAGGACAGGCAGCAATGGCAAGAACACCCGGCAGGCCAGATAAATGTCCTAGACGGGCCGCATGTAGCCCAGGCTCTGTAGTTTGAGGACACCTGGTATTGAATCTGTACAGGAATTTGGTGGGAACTGGTATCTTTACAATGTTGAATATTCCAATCCATGAATATTGTATAAACCTACATTTATTTAGGTCCTTTTTAATTTCAGTAGTGTTTTAGAGTTTTTGACTAGAAGTCTTATATACCTTTTACTAGCTTTAGTCTAGATATTTGATAGTTTTTGATGCTATTGTAAATAGTTTTTAAAAATTCCATCTTCTAACCATTTCTGTTATTTTGCAATATGTGGGTTTTTTGTTTGCTTGGTTTTTTTTTTTTTTTTTTTTTTACAGAGTCTCACCCTGTTGCGCAGGTTATAGTGCTATGGCATCATCATAGCTCACAGTAACCTGAAATCCCTGGGCTCAAGCGATCCTCTTGCCTCAGCCTCTTGAGTAGCTGGGACTACAGGCAAGTACCATCATGCCAGGCCAATTTTTCTATTTTTAGTAGAGATGAGGTCTTGCTCTTGCTCAAGCTGGTCTCAAATTCTTGAGCTCAAGGGATCCTCCTGCTTTAGCCTCCCAGAGTACTAGGATTTCAGGTATGAGCCACCTCATGCAGTTGATTTTTGAATATTGGCATTGTATTGCAATCTTGTGTGATTCACTTATTTATGTAACCATACCTATGGATTATCTATATACATAGCCATACTCTTTGAGCATAATGATTGTTTTATTTTTTCCTTTCCAATTTTTGTCCTGGTTGTTTATTTTTTGCCCTGTGCACTGGCTAGGATCTTTAGCACAAAGTGGAACAATGGTGACCGTGGACATCCTTTAGCAGGCATCACTTCATAGCCAAGCAAAAAATGAACCCTAATGTAGTGATCAAAGTTAATGTCACCAAATAATGGAACAAATCAAAATCATGTACCACCTGAAGATAATGAGGAGCACAGAAAATCACTTCTGTGAGATTCCTGTCAAAGATAAATGACTTGAATCAAAACATGAGGAAACCTCAGACAAATAAAAACTAAGGGTACAGCTTACAAATAACTGGTCTGTACTCTTTTAAAGGTTAAGGTCACGAGAGACAAGTAATGACTGAGGAACTGTTCAGATTGAAGAACATCAAAGAGACATGATGACCACATGCAAAGTGTGATTCAAAACTGGATCCTTTTGCTACAAACATTATTGAGACAACTGGAAAAACTAGAATTCATCCAGAGAGTTAGATGGTAGTAACATATGCATATTCATTACCTGATTCTGATGGTTGTGTAGGAGAATGTCTCTGTCTATAGGAAATACTTTCTAAAGTATTTGAGAGGGGAAGGTCATAGAGTACTGTATCAGCAACTTACTCTCAAATTGTTCAGAATATTTCTTTGTACTGTACTTGCAACTTCCGATTTCATTATTCTTGTTTCAAAATAAAAGTTAAACAAAAGCAATCCAAACTTCATTAATTTCAGAGAGGACCACCAGATGGAGTCCTTAAGCTACACAGCAAGTCTTACTTGGCTTTTCTTTTTGTGTCCTTTAAAAAAAAAGGGTAGTGGTGGACTTTATTTTAAAAAGGTAAAGTTATACATTTCTCTTGCTTCAGCACAGGAACAGGGACAGAATCAAACCAGATGCACTTTTATTCATTTTAGGGTACTCTATCAAGTTGCAGACAAAATTTTCTTTTTGATTGCATTTCTTTTTGGCCAGTGTTTCCTCACCCTTAACACATTTAGGGCTGGATAATTCTTTGTTGTGAGTGTGGGTGCTGGCCCATGTACTGCAGGGCGTTTAATAGCATCCCTGCCTCTACCCACTGGATCTAAGTATATTCCTCCAGTTGTGACAACAAAAAAAATGTCTTCAGGCATGGCCACTTGTCCCCTGCAATATAAAAATCACCTCTGGTTGAAAACTGTTTTTGGCACAGATGTTCTCTGCTTTGGGCATCTTAGCTCAATAGGGAGACTAAGAGCTATCTGGTCACCTTAGTGTGGCTAGTCCATAGTGGTGGTGGTGGTGATCTGGGTGTTGGGACTGAATCTCAGGATCTGAGGTTTGGTGGTTCAGTGCTGTACCACCAAATGGTGCGATTCTGTGTACAGAGAAGCCATAGAGCCTGGGGTGTCAGGAAAGGGCTTAGCCAACTAACCAGGAAGGTTCATGGGAGGAACACAGCAGTAAAGGGCAGGGTAGGAGAGCAAACTTCTCCCTCTCCCCCAGCAGCCAGTGCCCAGCTGCCTCCCAGCTGGCTGGGTAGAACCTTACCAGACTGGAGAATTGCCTTGGTCTATTACTGTCCATCCTTCCTGCTTGTTCCTATGAAAATGTCCTTCTTTCACGTATCACTTCTCAACCTCCTTCCTTTTCCATCATCTGATCAGAAAATCTACCCTTCATCTGCTCTCAGGGCCCAACATACCCCAAGCTTTCAGGTAAAAGGTCCTTTCCAGCCTTATTACTAATGATGAAAATGCAGTGGATGGAAGTCTCCCCTAGTTCAAGGATACTCCTGGACACATTTAGATCATGTTGCTCTTTTACTTTTTAAAGCTCTGTCCATCTCTTCCCATTCTTGGTGTATATACTCTAAAAAGTCCAATTCTTCCCAGCCCTTTGAAGTGCTATAAGATAGAAAGTCAGCAGTGGTCTGGGAGGGATGGGGAGATGCACATGGGGGTCACCATAAGGTATCAAAGAACCTTAGGGATAAGGTCAGGAAAACTCACCCCCCTAGAAATGAAGCTTGTTTAAAACCAATGCATCATGGCTGTATTTGGGCAGCTGCAGAATGATACCCCTCCTGGCAGAAAGCCAACCCCCCCGGCCCCCTAGGCATAGGAGTAGCTTTGTTAGGGTATGGCTAAAAGCAAGTCACTTTACTTCTGTGGGACTCAATGTCCTTCTCTGAGAAACAACAGATTTAAAGATGACCCATGATCCTGTTACTTAAAATCCATGAACATATCCTGCCTCAACTTAATCTAGATAATCTTAACCTTAAGGTTGGACCATCTGTGAATAGGCACTCTTTATGGCCAATTCCTTTTAACAAGATGGCATTTAGTCTTTAGGCTTCTCAACTCCTGACAGGCCCCACCTGTCAGCCTTAGTACAGGCTAACCCAGCCACTCAGTCTCAGGACAGGCTGGCCCAGCTATGAGGGTACCTGTTCTTGAGGCTGTCTGGTTGGGTGCCTTCCCGTAATCGGTCCTTTGGCATGTAAAGTGACTTTCTTCTGATTCAGGTCCACCCAAGTTATAGACTGTCAGCTCTTGGTGGGGGAGGAGGTCAGATTTATTGATGTCTGGGTTCTAGGGCTGAAAACGGTATATTGTACCCAGGGCTAATCCATGAGTCCTGGTTTTAATTCCATGTCAATCTCATGGGGGAGGTCGAATCCTTATTAATATTTTGCTTGGTCCTGGCCACAGTATTCCAAGGATGCACACACACTCACTCCTTTACTGCCTCACATTGACAACACAGGTCAGTTCATGCTTGCAGTGGACAGCTATTGGGTTGTGTGGCTCACCTCACTGAGAGCTGTACATTTCTCCCCTCTTCTGGCACAGAGGTCCTTGCAGCCATGTTCTGCTGCAGAAGCCCATCCCTGCGGCCACAGCTGATGCTACTGGGTAAACACCAATGGAAGGCAGGCTGACCAAGATCTGTCCCTAGGGATGGAGAGCCAAGAAACGGACCCTGAAAGTTTGCTGAAGTGGTTGCTTTTATGCCATTGGGAGATGCAGCTGGTCTTGTAATTTGTCCTATCAATTGGCAAAGCAGGCTATGGAGAGAGAGAGGCACTGCTGCAGTACAAAGCAGGCCCATGTGATATTTAACTGGTTCCCAAGGCCTTGCTGCACCTTCCTTGAGATTCAGCATCAATCCTGAATTCATAAAACAAGGACCCTGACCCACTTTTGTTTTTCCCTAATTCAGTTCTAGTTGGTACATTTCCTTTACTTGCAGCTGAAGGATTCCTAGCAAGTACAAGCTTCTATCCTCACTGAGAGGCCATGGTAAAAAATCCCATGCATCACATAAGCCCTGGGTAAAGGGATTTCAGTCACTGTGGTATAGAAGACAAGCTGTAACCTAATTAAATCGTGCTTGGCAGCTAGAGGTGAAAGGGCTGTGGAGGGCTCCTCCTTGACAGATGGAAAGTGCACCTATATCTGGGGAGGCTGTAGACCCAAACAGGCTTTTGAGGCCTGAAGAGGGTCTCTTGGCCAAAGGATGTCCTGAGGTTAGAACGCTGCAATTTCCCCCATGACTTTTTTTTTTACTCCCCCTTACTTTGTTATACTGACATTTGCTAAAGCTCAGAGAAGACCTTCCACATGATGACATCAGATCCCTAAACCATAAATAATGCGATGTTCATTTCACACTTTGGTCAGCACTCATGTTTAATTTGTTGTGCCTTGGAAAAGATATACAGGCTTCTATGCCATGAGATGTTAACTCTTTTATTAATTTGGGGTTAACACTGTATTTGCTTTGTTGATTTTTCTTTTGAAGTTGTGGATTCCATAAACAACAGGTAGGTTCTCTGCAGCTCATAGGTGACAAGGCCAATGCACTGATGCCACAGAGGGGAGTGGGACAATATGGAAAAAGATGAGATCGAAAAAATTTAAGGCAAATGTTAACTCCCGTAATAAAGGGAATTGTTCAAGATTTGTGCATTTCAATGAAAATATATGAAACATTTGTCAAAATAATTAATATTGGTAAAAATTAGAACATGTAGCTTATAAAATGCCTATAGTTTTGGCAGAATAAATCCAGCTGTGTCATGTAGGCTCGTAATATACATAGACACAGAAACATCTACCTTAAGAACATGTCTCCTTGAAGGGCAGAGGCCAAATGCACTTTGAAAGCAATTCCATAGAGTGGGGAGTGATGGTGAGTAACAATTCGTGGGCTGGGCTTATATTTTTTTAAGAGGAATTGCTTGGTGTCTCCTAAGGACCTTCCTCAGGAGGCTCTGCAACAGGAGATGCATAGTAACAAGGAGAGCAGGGCTCGCTTGAAGAAGGCTTCAGAGAAAGAATCTTCTGATCTGGGTTTGACATTGGACTTTCTAAGCCACTGCTGCAGGTTCAGAAGCAGCTGACTATGTAGAAATAGATGCTCCATCCCCAGTGGTCATACCTTTTATGCCCTCAAGCCTATTGTATTTATAGTCTGACCAAACTGTCCCACAGACTTGGGAGGCGGGAGATGAACAGGTAGAATGCTGGCCCTTTGTCACAAATGAGGATGGCCCAGGGTTTGCCAGCCAGGCCAGTGAGATTTACTACAGAGCTGCACGAAAGCATGGGGATGAGAACAATGTATTCTGCCAAGCAGCTTTCCTTTTTGCTTTGGTTTTGAAGATTCAGTAAACTTATGGTTCCAGAAGATGCTCCAAAGCTAGAGCTGTGGATTTCCAGAATTCATTTTGTTCCTATTTAGAGTTTATCAGAAGACTGCAGCTAGCAAGCAGCATTTGAGAAGATATCACCGTCTTAGGACACCTCCTAAAGGGCCACCACCCACCTGGCTTGGGTGCCCAGAGATGTTGCAGAAGACCTTGCTCCTGGGCAGATAAAACCATCAGTTTCAGAGGACTGCCCCAAACAGGCTCTGGCCAGTAGTCAGGAGGAAGGTAGATGGATGGATGGGTGGACAGGAGAGCCCTGCCCGTTTGTGGGCATCCAGGTGCCCCTACCCAGCCAGCAGGCACGTGCGGCAGCAGAACTGAATGAAGAGCTTCCGTTCACATAACCGGTTGGACTTCACCATCTCACAGAATGTCTCGTCAGCTGGGGCCCCACGTCAGGAAAGAAAAAGGAGGGAAAGGTCAGTCTTTGGGGCCTGTTAAGATTGTTTCAATCATTCCACTGTTTGTTGTGGTACACTGAGTGAGGACACAGAAGGAGGAAGCAGCACCAGGGCAGGTCCTAAAGTCCACCTCCTAACAATGCTCTTGACTGTGTGAGCCTAGCATGGCAGAGGTGTTACCTTGTATACAGGGGCTGTTGCTAAGTCTAAGTAACCAGGAGATTCATAAAGGGGACACAGAGGGTGGGTATAGGAGAGATCTAGGGGGAACACCCAGGCAAGGCCAGTGGAGCCCTTAGGTCACACGTACATCTGTTTTTCTGGACATCCATGAAGGGGGTTGCTGAGGAGGAGGATTTGGGGGAGGCAGGAGTGCAGGGATAAAGGGGACGAGAATGGAAGCTGCTGCCAGGGTCCAGGGGACACCCCAAATGGAGAGGTGTAGGGCCAGGAACAAGTGCCATCAAGGCAGATAGGCAGGACTCAGGAGGAGAAAGCTGTGGGCTTTTGAGGCTATGTTGTCTTCAGTGGACCTGGAAGACCCTCCTGTGGCAACCTCACTTCCCTGGGTAGGTAACTTCCTAAAGAGGGACCTTCCTGGCCTTTGCAATAAGATGTGAGTCTTCAAACCAAAAGAATAACTTGACAACAAGGCAAGGAGGCATCCCCAGGATTCTCTCTGTGGACTTTGTGCTCTGCCAGGGCAGGGCCAGGGTAAGGTTCATGCCCAGGGTCCACCTGCTCTGCCCCTTGGGTGATGTGGAGGGGAGCAGGCTGTGGTGCCAGAACTGGCCCTGTGCAGCTCTCCTCCTGCTGCCTGCTGAGCTATGGAGTCCTCTTCCCTGGCCATAGTGCATTGGCTAATGGCTCTGGCATCAGGCCTCTGGGACAGAGTCCTTTGCCAACCCTTAATCTTGCCTGTAATCCCCACATTAAGCACTGTCTTCCATCTCCTAAGTGTCTGTTTTCAAAACCTATTCTTGTGTCCCCATCCACCTGCAGAGCCAGGGCTTTCCCTAGCATGGATGCAGGGCCTTCCTTAGCATGGATGCAGGGCTTTCCTTAGCATGGATGCAGGGCCTTCCTTAGCATGGATGCAGGGCCTTCCTGTGGACAGCTGGGATTCCTGATGCTGAGCATCAACCCTGACTCTGGGCTCTGTTCTCTTAGTCCTGAGGCTGAGACCTTCTAGGTTTCCTGGCTTTGACCTCAAAGGTCAGGCCTCTTTTATGGAAAGTTGCCACACCCAAGCAACTAGGAGCCTATGACACAAGGTGTAAGAACAAAATCATTGGCTGGGTCTAGTTGCCAAGGTGGGAGGATTGCTTGAAGCCAAGTTTGAGGCTGCAGTGAGGTATGATGAAGGCACTGCAACAGAGTGAGACCTTGTCTTTAGTTTTGTCTTTAGTTTTTAATCTTTAAAAAATTTTTAGTATGTATGTATTTTTGAGATAGAGTTTTACTTTGTCACCCTCGGTAGAATGCCATGGCATCACAGCTCACAGCAACCTCAAACTCCTGGGCTCAAGCAATCTTCTTGCCTCAACCTCCCAAGCAGCTGGGACTATAGGCACCCACAACAATGCCTGGCTATTTTTAGAGGTGGGGTCTTGCTCTTGCTCAGGCTGGTTTCGAACTCCTGAGCTCAAGCAAGCCACCCACCTCAGCCTCCCAGAGTGCTAGGGTTATAGGCGTAAGACTGCACCCTGACAAGACCTTGTCTTTACAAAAGAAAAGAAGAAAGAAAGAGGCTGGGCTGGGCACTGTAGTGGGTACCTATAGTCCTAGTTACTCAGAGGCTGAGGCAAGATCACTTGAGCCCATAAGTTTGAGGTTGCTGTGAGCTATGAGCCCATAAGTTTGAGGTTGCTGTTAGAGTGCTATGATGCCATGGCACTCTAGCCTGAGGCAACAGAGTGAGAGAGTCTGTATTCCTCCCCCTGCCCCCCAAAAGGAAAGAACAAAATCATTTTTGAGAGTCACTCAACAGACAGGCAGTAGCTGGGATGTTTTTCTGGTCAATATGTAAGAGGCCTACAGGGAAGTTAGAAGAGGGCAGTCGCTGTCCAAATTGGCTAGAGTTGTCCCAGAGGGTCAGGCAAATCACTGGCAAGCATGCCTATTCTGGAAGCCACCATGCCTGCATTTTTCTTTTTCTCTTTTGAGCAGGGGCTAGCAGACTGAGCTCCTCCATGGGCAGCCCAGGTGACTGAGGGGCCATCACATGCTGATGCTCACCGTTGTTGCATGTGTGGTTGGTGATGCAGGAGGTCCCCAGCTGCGTGAAGCCTGCTTTGCACCTGCTGCAATTCCTGCTGGAGCCTTCGCAGCTCAAGCAGTTCTCTTCACATCTGTGGGGAGATAACAGATTCTGCTGAAGCTTGGGAAAGAGGTCCTACCACTCTGGGCTCCTTCCCCCCATACCTCCTCATAGCCACTTCAGTTTTGGGCCTCTGTTGAGAAGCTGCAATTGTGTCTCCCACAATCTGACCTCATATTGCCCTGAGAGGGCAGACAGCCATGCCCAGTTGGCAGGAGCATGCCCAGGATGGGGGGATGGCCCTCCTGACCACTGGCCCCCATCCCACCTAGGGCTTCCAAAGCCATTTGCTCCCTCCTGCAGCAGCAGGGCTGTTATGGCTATAAGCTTGGCACTGGGGCCAGACTCCATCTAGGAATGTGACAAAAATCCTGGCGCTGACCAGAAGGCTGCTAATGCCTATCAGTCTGCCATCTCAGCAGCACGCTGACCTGTGCCTAGACAGTCCTGGCCCAGGGCTGTTTCTAATGCAGAGTAATGTGACCTCAGGGGAGGGTCAGTGCACTAGGGTCTGAGGCCACACCAGCAGTTTTTACTGGACCATAGTGGTACTGGCTCATTTACATATTATCTGTGGCTGAGTTTTTGCTCCAGTGGCTGACTTGAATAGCTGTGACAGTCTGACCCTAGAAGCCTGAACTACTTCCATCTGGCCCTTTATTAAAAGAATTTGCCAACTCTGGGCTTGAATCTGCACATTTCCCACCCAAGGCTGTGTATGTACCTCAGCTGCACTGCCACCTTTTCCGTGTTCCCCTCTTGGTGACTCAGTTTCCACAGTACTCTGTTGCCTACCTCCCTACTTCCAGCTAAGGGTTGACAGGCCCCACAGGATGAGCCCAAAGAAGGCAGGCAGGAGGCTGGCAAGTTGGGTAGGCATTGGACCTCTGTGTGCTCAGTCCAGATGGCTCTCTCCACTATGTGTGACCAGTGGCCCAGACTCCTCACAGGCCTCTTCCCAAAGCAGCCCTTTCCAAACCAGACTGGTGAGTCCTCCTCCATGGAGGCCCTGCCGTGCAGTACACCCTCGGCCTTGGGGAGAGAGGGTGACTGCAGATGCTAAAACTATAGCCCAGACTCCTAATCTGTGTTTGTGAAGTGTAAATCCCACGGGCAGACCTGCAGCCAGGAGCCTCTCTAACCTCCTCCCCCTGCATCAAGATTCTGTCCTCTCCCCTCAGCCCACTAAGAGTCAGGAGGGGACAAAGGACTCTCCAGGGTCAGCTGTGCACTTTCACAAAGCCCAAGGGATCTGGCCTCTGTCACAATGTCACCCCCACAGCCAGACCTGCACTTCTGGGGATGACTTTCCTCTAGGCACCCTCCTGGTATCTCTTATAGACTATACCCACCAGTGAGAAAGGGATGCCAGTGTTCTGGAAGGCCTAGGAGGAAGGCACTTCCAGGCTGTAGCCAAGAGCTGCTTCATCTATGAATAACTACAGTGAGGAGGGGGCTGTGGTGGGAGCCACTGTCCTCTTCAAATAGGATGTCACTAAGTTCTATGGGACTGCAGGTGCCTCTGTTTTCTATTGCTAGGTAACAAATTACCACACATTACTCTGTTATTGTTGCTGGCAAAGTTTAGCAGCTTAAAACTTATCTGACATAATGATATTCTTTTATAAACAAAAATAAGCAAAAACACTTTATTTTATGTAACCTAAAATAAATAATTAAATCATCAAATGAGATCGTATTTATACTTTTCTTTTTTAAAACTTTAGGGTACAGTGGATTATCTGAGCTCAAGAGCTAGAGACCAGGCCTATAATCCCAGCACTTAGGAGGCTGAGGTGGGTAGACTGCCTGAGCTCCTAGGTTCAAGACCAACCTGAGCCAGAGCGAGACATCATCTCTAAAAATAGAGCATTGTGGTGGGTGCCTGTAGTCTCAGGTACTTGGGAGTTTGAGGCAAGAGAATCACTTAAGCTCAGGAGTCTGAGGTTGCTGTGAGCTATGATGCTACAGCACTCTACTGAGGGTGACAAAGTAAGATTGTCTCAAAAAAAAAAAAACAAAAAAAACCAGTTAATACCAGCCTGAGCAAGAGCAAGATCCAATCTTTACTAAAAACAGAAAAATTAGCTGGGTGTTGTGGTGGGCACTTGTAGTCCCAGCTACTTGGGAGGTTGAGGCAAGAGTGATCACTTGAGCCCAAGAATTTGAGGTTGCTGTGAGCTATGATGAGGCCATGGCACTCTACCCAGGTAACAGAGTGAGACTCTGTCTCAACTCCCCTCAAAACCAAAAAAACCTACAGAATAATTACAAGTGATCTACAACCTCTTTCCTACCCAAAAATAAGAGTATGCAGGTGGCAGAAAAATTGGATTGGAAAGGGTAAATAAAGTAACCCTCATTCAGTAGCTTCCAATGAGCTACTCACTGAAGCCTCATTCAGTAGCTTCCCAATGATGAAGGCAAAAGTCCAGACAGCCTCAGCAGGTTCTCTGCTTGTGGTCTCACAAGGCCCAGGGCAAGGTGCTGGTCAACGTGGACTCTCATATGGAGGTGTGGGGAAGAATCCAGCAGTGTGCTGGTCTGTGAGAGAAGCGATGTGTGCCTGGCAGCCAATGCCCCCTTTGTCTTGTAGCCCCTGCTTTTATCTGTCAGGATTCCCTCTTGGTCAGGGCTACCTTGGAACAAGGCGGTTTCTAAGATGCCTCTGGTTCTGCCACCATCTGTGGCATCTACTGTATCCTCAGGAAATTTTGCCCTGCCAAATTTTGGAAGGGTGAGCACACCCAAAGCAGGCCCTCTCCCTGTGGCATTGCAGGGCTACCCCCACCAGCTCCTGCTTTTCCCTGTTCCAGGTGAGAGTCAGACCCAGGAGTCCCAGGGACACAGACCACCTGCTTTAAGAGTTCTTATCAGCTTCAGTTTAGGCTCAGAGTGAGGCAGGAACATGCCCTCGAGAGCCTCTGCCCCCACAGAGCCTGGGGGTTAGGGCAAAAGAAGTTAGTCTACCCCTCAGAAAGGACTCCACAGTCTCTCCTTTTCTTCCTAAACTGTCCTTGGTGACTCTTGCTAGGTCCTCTCACTGAGTCCTGAGGGTGTCCAGTACCTCTTTTGAGCTACTAATCTCATATTGTCCTCAGCTTCTACCTGGTTGCCGCCAACCAATGGGCATGTGTCCAGCCTGGTTTTCCCACATCAGCACCATCTGGCTACACACCCCATTGGAGCTGTGCAGCCCATCAGGGAGGATGGCCACAGTACCAGTCAGTACTCCGGGGCCTGGAGGACGCTTGTGGCTAAGCACTGATGCTGTCTGAGCTGGGAGAACCGAATACACCAAGGCCATGCTTCCTCTAGGAGGAATCCAACCTGAGGTTCACCCTGGAGGTGTTTCTCCAAGACGTGGTATGTCAGCACCAGCACTGAACTTTCCTCCAGGGCTGATAGCTTCCTAGCACATGGAGGCAAGTACCCAGGAAACCCCTGTCTTCTGGTGCCCAAGGAGAGGTTTGTGGGGGCTGCCAGCCTCCTGCCTCCTGGGGACAGAGGATACCAATGCTTCTGGGTGGCCAAGGGGGTCTTAGTAGCACAGTTGTGTCTATACTCAGCATCTCCTGAAATCCAGGGCATTTGACACATGATAGTGATTAATTCCAAGTTACTGTTAATTCTAAGTGACAGTTTAATTCCAAGTTCTCCCTGGGTTGCTATAATTATCTGCAAACCAGTTGACTGGTTACAATGAAAGATATACTTCAGACACCCACACCCAAAGCCCTGCACAGAACTCAGCAAGGCTGCACCTGCAAGTGGGTGGCAAGTTTCCTACTTCAAACTAACTCAGTAGGTGGGGCTGATCCTTGCACAGATTTGGGCCCAATAGGCCCCATTTTTGTGGGTCACACAAATGTAAGAACTTAGTGGTCTCTCATAGGCCACTAGGATTTGTTTGTTTTTAAGGAAATAGGTTATAACCCACAGCAGTTCTCATGCATAATCTGGGAGGTAGACCTTGGTGTGGGGTGGATCTGCCAGCGCTGCAGGTCTCTGGTTGGCGCTGGACACCAGGCATGGCCTGCACCCCTGCTCTGACACGTGTCTTCAAGGGTTCCCTTGTTTTTTTTTTTAGACAGAGTCTCAAGCTGTCACCCTAAGGAGAGTGTCGTGGTGTCATAGCTCACAGCAACCTCAAACTCTTAGGCTTAAGCAATTCTCTTGCCTCAGCATTCCAAGTAGCTGGGACTGCAGGAACTTGCCACAATGCTTGGCTATTTTTCTTTCTTTCTGTTTTTTTTTTTTTGTTACAGTTGTCATTGTTGTTTTAGCAGGCCCAGGCTGGGTTTGAACCTGCTAGCCTCAGTGTATGTGGCCAGCGCCCCATCCACGGAGCTACATGCACTGCCGCAAGGGTTCCTTTGTTTTGAATCTGTTTCCCAGAAGGCACTCCCACCCATAGCTCATGCATACCATTACATCATCAGGGTCCCCTTCAAACTGTACTGCCCTGCCCTGTCCCTGGGCTCTGGTATATGATGTCCTGATGTAGGACAGGGTTCAGCAAGGCATGAGAATACCAAAGTAAATGGCTTCTCTGTTAACAGTCCATGTCCAACAATAAAAGGGAACTCTGCAAGGTCCAGAGCAAACTAGGTAAGAATGGTGGCCTGTGTGGACACATGGGGGAGACGGGTAAAGAGGATGAGGGTTAAAATCTGGGCACATGGGCTTGGTGCCTGTGGCTCAAGTGGCTAAGGCGTCAGCCACATATACCTAAGGTGGTGGGTTTGAATCTAGCCCAGGCCCGCCAAACAACAATGACAGCTGCAACCAAAAAGTAGCCAATTGGGCGGTTTTTTTGGTGGGGCCTGTGGTCCCAGCTACTTGGGAGGCTGAGGCAGGAGACTCGCTTGAGCCCAGGAGTTGGAGGTTTCTGTGAGCTGTAATGCTACGGCACTCTACCCAGGGGGACAGCTTGAGGCTCTGTCTCAAAAAAAAAAAAAAAAAACTGGGCACATGGACTGTACAGGAAATGGCTTTCGAATGAGCAGACAGTGGAGATATTTTCACTTTCTCTAAATATCTAATTTAAAAGTGTTTTTTAAAAACATTTTCTGATTGGCACCAGTGAGCAGGATGTACCCTGAGCAGTGGTATAGGAGGGTATCTGTGGAGCACCATGGGACAGCCACCTAGTTACTCTGCTTCTGTGCAGCACCCCTTCCCTAGTCCCTGGGGAAAGTGCCACCCAATGTGGGCCACCTTGCTGAATTCAGCTGACCACTGACCCTCAGAAATGTGAGCTTGAGCCAGGGAGACCATACCTTCGGCACACTTTGTGGGGCAAGCCTGGCATCTCCTCTGGGTAGAACCCCTCACTACAGGTAGGCACACATTTCCAGTCTTGGAAGTAGAAGTTTTTTGCACAGTGAATACATTCTTCTCTGCTGGGCCCTAAGAGGTACAGAAAAAGTAGCACATGTCAGGGACAGCTCCTGATGACTGTTGTCCAGGCCCACTATGCTGCTATGCCCAGGGAGATCCAGGGTACCACCTGGACTGTTGTCCAGGCCCACATATGTTATGCCCAGGGAGATCCAGGGTACCACCTTCAGGCCACCATGCAGTTGGCATTTTCCACATACCTGCCAAGGGCTGGGCTATCTTCACCCACTCCCAAGAGGTCATCCCCCCATCCCTGTTTCTCAGAAGGGGACAGAGAAGACATGGTGCTACCTTGGTGGGGAGCATACCTCCCCACTGCCTGTCCCATGGGGACTGGCCCTGATTCCAAACACTTCCTTTCCCAGAGGGCCTAGGCCCACTTCTGCTAGAGCCAGTGTGGTAGCTGTACACCAGCTATGTGTGGCTTTGAGACTTGAAATGTGGCTATGCCATACTGATGTCCACTGTGAGCACCTTACATACACACTGGGTTTCAAAGTCTTCATTTTAAATAGCTCATTAATTTTTTTATATGGCTACATGTTGAAACTGTGATATTTTGGAAACATTAGGTTAAATAAGATATGTTACTAAAATTATTTTTGCCTATTTCTTTTTACTTTTTAGGATGTGGTTACTAGGCAACTCAAAATTGCATCTGGAGTTTGCATTTGTGGCTATTCTACTTGACAGAACACGGGAAGATAACGTGGGGAAAATGAAAGATTTGCAGCAACAGAGAAAAAAAATGACAAAGGCTCATGGGACAGGGAGAACTGACCTGCAAGACAAAAGCTCTGAATAAAAGATCCAGAGCCACGGAGGAAAATCTTTAGCTTGGCCCAGAGTCAGAGGAGGACTTGTCAGCCTGGGCAGGATGCTGGACTGCAATGACTATACTGAGTGCCTCCTCTAGGCCAGATGTCCCCAGGGAGCACCTGCTGGGATATCTGAGAGGCAGCAAGGTGGCCATGGCCAACAGCCTGCCCTAGAGGGTTAGATATGGCAGGAAACCATCTCGGAAGCTCTGTGATAGTCATATTGTCTGAGGGTACCTTTCTCCCACACACTTTAATTTGATTACGGTAGAAGCTAACACAGTGGGATTGTGCCTCCTAATGTAGGTATAGAGTAAGGTGGGCCTCTCCTCTGCGAAGTTCCACAGCCTTGAGGACCCCAGACACAAGGCTCAAGGTTCTAGGGCTGAGTCCCCATTTTATAACCACAGCTTTAACCCTGGGAGAGGATTCTAAACTTTTCCAGCCCAGGCTCCTTTCAGAGTCATGAAGAGTGAAATTGCCCACTGCCCACACAGGGGCCTGGGTATAGTTATGGGCAGAGGCAGATGTGATTGCCTGGTGGTATCCTCAGGGCTGGGCATGGTGGGATCTGTCCTCCATCCAGCCCTCAGTGTCCCACTGCTCTTGGCTGGAGACTTGATGAAGACAAGCCTCTTGTCCTTCTGCAAGTTCAAGTGCCCAGTGCATCCCAGAATGGAGGTTGTGATGATTGGGGATGGCCTATCCACCATGGGTTGTTGCTGTAGATTTTAAGCAGGCATCAGAAGCACAGTCCTTTGGATGATGGGGCTTTTGTGACAGGCCAGCACTTCCTGGTTGGGTGTTTTCCTCCTTTTCTACAATGAGGTGAAAGAGCTGTCCAGTTTGTATTTTTTTAGAGGGCAGACTGCTCTTGGTGGATCCCACCTCTCCCCATGGCTCATCCCCGGGGCGTCCACAGGTCAAGAGTGACGGTGAGTGCACATGACAGGGCACCGCTCCACGTAAGGGCTTCAGGAGCCATGCAGGGCCTGCCACCGTCCCATTGCTAGTACCTCACCTACTGAGCCCCGGCACCTTACTGCCTTCCTCTAACACTTGAGGGGCTTGTTTCTGTGTGTGTTTAGTTTCATGCTCAATTGATTAAACTTAAAAATGTACTTAAACATATTCAGTTGGGGAAGATGGTGTGTTACAGCTGCATGACAATGCCAAGCACTTAATGCCACCAGACCACATACCTAAAAATGGTCAAGATGGTAAATTTTAGGTTATGTGTATTTTACCATAATAAAAAAGCTGATTAAACATACATTTTCTGCTCACACTATTTTTACAACTACTAAATGTTATGAACTTCAGAATTCAGTGAAAGTCTTTTAAGGGTTCCATTAGGTCACAAATCTCTATAGCCTATGAATGCTCTGAGCCCCCAGGGTCTAACAGTAACAACAAAATGGGTTGTGTGTATGCAGGAGTCACTGCTCCATCCATGGGCAGCCCAGTATAGAGTGAAAAGATGAAGCCCCTGTTCAGAAAGCACAAGAAACATGCCACTACAGGCATGGAGACAGAAGACATTTGCTTTTCTTTTGCAATCTCTCTCTCTCTCTCAGCCTGTTGCAGTGTTTTTTTATTTGCTATTTCAAGTCATGCTCTCTCAGGTACTAGATGCTCAGGAGTGAGGGCTGACCATTATAGGTACCTGGGCACTATCCCTTGACTTGGTATGTGTGTGCCCATGTGCTGGGTATATCAAGTCCCAAAGGTCCACTGCAACAACCCATGATGGACAGGCCACCCCCAAGCACCACAACCTCCATTCTGAGTTGCATTAGGTACTTGGACTTGCAGAAGGATGAGAGGCTTGTCTTCCTTGAGTCTCTAGCCAAGAGCACTGGGACACTGAGGACTGGGTGGGGGACATATCCCACCATACCCCACCCTGAGGATGCTACCAGGCAATCACAGCTGCCCCTGCCCACAACTATGCCCAGGCCCCTGTGAGGGCAGTGGAAAGCAGTAGTCAGTGGGTGGGAGCACAAGTAGGCCTGGCTCTCCAGGGCACAGGAAGTGGGCGTCTGAGGACAGCTGCCTCCAATGAGGACCACACCTGACATACAGCAAGAAGCTTCCAGATGACTTTGAAGCCAGTCCTCTCCCTAGTGGCCACCTGGGCATGGATGTACATGCTTCCCAAGAGCTTAGAAAGAACTCAGGCCAGAAAGCATGGGGAAAGGGGAGAGCCTGCCTGTACTTTGAGAAATGTAGAACTACACACTGCTGAAGCAAGCACCTAGAGCAGTGGTTCTCAACCTTCCTAATCCCTTTAATACAGTTCCTGTGGGTCGCACACAACCCACAGGTTGATAACCGCTGACCTAGAGTGACAGAGAAGTCACTGGAATGAGATAAGAAAACCTCTAAGTGCCTCTATAAAGCTTTTTGCCATCAGGAAGTCTGGGGACTTGGAGAAAAAAGTAAATTGAATTATTGACATTGAAAAAATTAGTTATAGAACTGCATGCCTGAATGTTATAGGTTCAAGTGACTATGAAATTTAAATAAGCAACATCAGTGATGCTTCTTCATCAAGCCAATGAAACAAAGAATAAAAACCATAGAGTAGGCCTAGGTGGTGCACACCTAAGTCCCAGCTACTTAGGAGCCTGAGGCAGGGAGAATCATTTGAGCCCAGGAGTTGAGGACCAGCCTGGGACACATTCCAAGATCTCATCTCTTAAAAAAAAAAAAAAAATAGCCAGGCATTGTGACAGGTGCCTGTAGTTGCAGCTTCTTGGGAGGCTGAGGCAAGAAAATCACTTAAGCCCAAGAGTTTGAGGTTGCTATAAGCTGTGATGTTATAGCACTCTACTGAGGGCAACATACTGAGATTCTGCCTCAAAAAGAGAGAGAGAAAGAGAAATAAAGGAAAGGAAGAAAAGTAGAAAAATGACATACATACAAAAGGGCAACAGGGCAAACTGCTAAGGACTGCTGAGCTGTCAGCAGGTGGAAACCTTCCAAATGCTGGGGCTGGCGCCTTTAGGGCTGTCCCAAAAGGGTACTGAAGATCTGTTCTAGATCTTCATCTGCAGGTAGCCTGTGGTCAGCTGTAGTAATCATTTAAGGACCCTGGCCTTGACTTCTCAGGCATGTCCAGTCAAGGACAGCACAGCAAATAGCTCACATGGCCACCCCCATGATGAGAATAGTAGCCTGACTGCTGCAAAAGCTCAATTTCATGTTTCTGAGAACAGACCAAAATGCCGAGGGCAAGGAGATAGGAGAAAACTTAACCCAAAATGCATCTGAGCCCACAAACTCAGGGTATGCTTCAACTTCATGTGCAAAAAAACTCTGTGAAATAAACTCCAATAAAACAAATGAATTCTCTACTTTGAGGGATAAAAACTGCCTGAGAGTTGTGCTATCATCTTTGTGGGGAACTACAAAACATGGAAGTTGGTTATAGAAGTCTTTTCCTCTTTGAATAAAATGTTCAGAATAAGTGAAGCTAGGTACCAAACACTAAGGCTAGGTTTTAAAACATCCCACCCCACCTGGATCCATCCCTGCCTCTCACAGTCCTCTGAGTGCCACACAAGCAACCTGCTCACTGCTGCCCAGCTGGGATTCTAATGCTGGGAAACCCAAGTTGCTGTTCAAAGCAGGCCTCTGCATTATTCTGGGGTTCTGTTTGAAATTTTAAAAATTGTGGTAAAATGTACATAGCATAAAATTTACCATCAAACCATTTTCAGGTCTACAATTCAGTGGCATTAAGTATATTTATAATGTTATGCAACTATCACCACCATGCATCTCTACAACTTCTTTCTTCTTACCACATTGAAACCTGTGAAACATTAAATCCCCCCTTCCCCTTCCCCAGCCCCTTGTAGGCCTTTGTGTTGTGTTTGGCTTGATAGTGTTTTAAGGATACAATGACTGGGGAAGTCCATGAGTCCTAGGGCTGTCTCAGTTTCAGGATAGCCCATCCATGCCTATCCCTACAAGGAAACAGAAGCAGATGGCTAACGCACCCACACAGGTGCGGCAGGTGTGATGACACTCCCCACATCTGACCAGCTCAGAGTCGAAGTAGGTGCCCGGCTCACAGTCTGGAATGCAGTTGCCCCGTGCAAGGCTGTGGGAAAGAAAGAGGCAGGTTTCCATATCTATTCCAATAGTCTAATGAAATGGTAATCTGCCCTCTAATGCTTTTCCTGAGAGGAAATGGAAGTTGCTGAAGACTCATCTTTGTGTTACTATAGGTTCCCAGCCAGGGAAAGCTGTCCCTAAGCTGGCTGGAGGCCAGGCTAGAAGGGCTACCGAGGGCAAGGGAAGTGGAGCCTCCACCATTAGGCAGTGGACACCAGGCTCTTTCTTCAAATCTGGTGGCCCTGGCTCCCCAGTCCCTGAGCAGGGGGCCAAGGCCTTATTCTCTCTCCTGCTTTGTGCTGGATTCTACCTATTGCTATTTCCCAACTCTGAATCCGAACCTAAGAGAAAAAGTGGAGCTGTATGGGCACCCCTGGTGGCATACTGGCTTAGTCTCACAGCTGAGTCCCCAGGAAATATCAGCATTTATGATACACAGGTATGGGGGTACTGGCTGACCTTCAACTGAGATCTGCTCCTTCCTTTCCCTTGCTTAAAACCTTCCCTATATTCACAAGGAACTTGAAATAAAATCTCTCCTTGGGCTCTGGCAGGCCTGTCTGATCCAGCTCCTGCCTTCCTCTCACACCTTCCTTGCTGACCCTCACTTCTCTTTCCCCAGCCCAGTGCTGGCTGGGGCACAAAGGACAAGCTAGACTAGCCAGGCTGATCTGCCTCTGCACATCCCAGCTGTGCCACCCAGGCAAGCCAGCCAGCCTCTCTGTACCTCCCTTTCTACTTAATTGGTTCCTGAATCATAAAGTTGTTTGGAGGACTCAATGTGCTAATACATGTTAACCATCTGGTATGTGCCAGATAGCAGTATAAACAAATGTCACCCACTGTTTCTTCAGTTCCTGGGATTATAGTGTGTTTGATGCACACATTTTAAATGGGTTTGCCACTAAACATACTGAACAAGTGCTCTGGGGTTTCATCTGTCAGATCTAGAGATTCCTGGTATAATGCTGTGATTTATAAGAAGAAATATATATATTTGGTCTTGGCTCTGGAATACACCCCCCCCCTTGGAATTACCACAGTGACAATTGCCTTTTTGCATGCTAATGACTGGGGGGGGGGTTCTAGGCAGCCTCAGAATGGGGGCTGGTTGCTAAGGGAACCACCTGATTGAAGGCTTGGAACTTTAGGCCCCACCAACTAGAAGGAAGAGAGGCTGAAGGGTGAATCATCACCAATGGCCAAGATGTAATCAGTCACGCCGATCGATACAATGAAACCTTCATAAAAACACCGAAGGACACAGCTGGGATTGCTTCTGGGTTGGTGAATCGTAACACATCCCAGGTACAGGGTGGGTGGCACTGTCCAGCTCCACAGGGATGACAGCTCCAGTGCTCTCAACCCTTCTCAACTTTGCCCTATGCATCCCTTTCTCAGGCTGCTCATCTGCATCCTTTGTAACATCCTTTTTAATAAAGGGATAAATATAAGTCAAGTGTTTCCCTGAGTTCTGTGTGCTGCTCTAGCAAACTAATAGAACCTGAGGAAGAGGCTACAGGCACTCTTGATTTGTAGCCATTCAGTCAGAAGTACAGGTCACAAGCTGGGATTTCTGACTGGTATCTGAAGTGGGGGCAGTTTTGTGAGGTTGAACCCTCAAATGTGGGATCTGATGCTCTATCGGTGGTGTCTGAATTGAGCTATATGTATGTGTATCACAGGACGTGCAGTTGGTGTCCATCAGAGAATTGCCTAGTGTATGGGGAAAACCCACACACATTTTGGTGATGAGAAGTGAAGTGTGCAGCATGGACTGTGAGAGTAGGAAATATCTATAGGTCCTCTGGCCCCTCTGCATTGGTAGTGGACGTCTGTCCATGGCCATTCCTCAACATGGTGCCCAGGCTGCTGCAGATGGCAGTTACGTTATATCTTTGATAAATGACACTCCACTGTGAGCATTTATCCCTTAAAGAGAAGGATGGCTGGGAGGTGGTGGCTAAGCTGCTTTCTCACTGCTTTTATGTGACAGTGAAGATTTGAAGTCACAGCTTACGCAGATATTGGGCACTCAAGGGAAGCCTTCTGTGGATTATGGCTGGTGATGTTTCAGAGTTTGCAGGCCTTTCCAAAAGCTCTTCACTGCTGAAACCACTGATTCTGCTCCGCAGCTACCACTAGGAAGCATTTTCTCCCCATTATACTATCCCTGAACTGAGTATCTGACTTCCCACCTCCCATGGGACTAGAGACAGAAATGAGTTCCTTGACACTGCCAATTCTCTTCTGGGAAACAGGCAGGTTCCAGGGGGTTGGAAACACAGAGCCTCCTCTCCCGGAACAGCCTAGGTTGAGGATCCACTCCTGGGCTGCCTGGGGCACCAATGCTGGCCTCTCCGAGGCCCCAGCTGCCAGAGCAATGTCTATCCCTTCCTCTTTGGGCTCTTTTTCCTTTTGGGGATCTTTGTCCTGGACCAGGTTATCCTTTCACTCCTAATCCTGCCTCATCCAGCCAATAGGTTTAAATGATAGGAGGTGGGATCTGTGACATCAAGGGTCCTGCTTCCCTTTCCCTTGCCTGGGACTGGGACACTCTCCTCTCTAGTTAGTATTCTAATTTGGAAGAAAGGGGCAGGTTGAAGGAAAACTCAGGAAGGCAGCAACACAGTACCCCCTGGGGAAACTGTTCCTCCCCCCCCCCTTGTAAAATGCGAATAACAATTACACAATTATAACAACTACTGTACATCTACTTCCTAGGGCTGCAAAGCAGTAGAATAAGAGTAACTTGCTCAGCATGTTTTCTTCCTTTGTTCTTTTCTCCTAAAAACTTCCTTGTGCAGTGAGCCTCAGGCTCCGCAGTATTTGAGGAAAAGAGACAGGGATGTGAAAGGTGGCTGCAGCTCTCCCTGCCTGACCAGGTGAAGTCTGTTCCCCACCTGGACTACAACATCCTCATTGCCTGCCAGCCTGCTGGAAATGCAGAGTCTCAGGCTCCACCCAGACCTACTGCATGTGAACCCTAGAGATCCCTGATACCTCTCCACCTCTGCAGCAAGAGAAGCTGCTCTCATAGCTCCTTCCCTTCTTTCTTGATTGTGCTGACCTGGCTGCTCCACTATGGGAGAGGCCACAGTAAAAGTTGGAACAACATGCTGTCCAAGCTTCTGGAATCTACAGTCTTTTGGAGGAACAAGTAATATGTATTTGACTGCCTCAAATGCAGTCTGACTGCATTAAATGGGCTAAACAAATCCTTCATATTCCAATAACAATCAATTAACCTAACAACGAGTTTTTAAAGGAAATGCACGCTGAGCTTCACAGGGCTGAGGTTGGTGAGACAGGGAGAATCTGGAATCTAAAAAGCATCCTTAAGGAGCGATGAAATTACCAGAACCTGGGGGTAAAATAGAGAGAGAAGACTGAGCAGGGAGGAGGAGGGGCTGAGTGAGCCCACAGCCCAGCCTGCCCAGGCTGGAAGGGACATTAGAGTAGGTGGAGTCTCTGGTGCCTAAAAGAAGGAGATCTGTGCTTCCCATTGGGAACACCTTGCTATCAGGCAGCAAGCCCACTTCATGTGATATGATCAACCTCTGACCATGCTCCCTATTTTGTGTGAAACGCAGAGATTCTATCTAGCTTTTCAGTTTCCATTACCATCACTCACCCATCTCTAAGTGGACATGTGTGATTTCCACAGACTTGAAATCTTTACCCTGAAAAGCTCTGGGAATCAGTGAAAAGCCAGAAACTCAAAAACACATCAACACTTTGGCATCCTCCAGGTTTTGAGGGGAGTTCTACCTGAATCCTTCTTTACACATGGTACATTTCTCGGGTTCATCCACGCACTTTTGACAGCCTGGGTGACATTTAAGGCAATTTTTCTGACCTGGAGAAAAAAAAGAGGGACAATAGTGATGGGAATCAAATTTGGGCAAACAAGTCCCCAGCAGTTCAAAGGGGGGTTGGTAGGATGGCTCTGCCTTGGTGCCCATCTCCAGATGATGGCACAATAATAAAGCAGAGATGCTGCATGAGACCATGTGCCTGGGGTTTTAGATCTCAGAATCTCACCTTCCTTTTCTGGGGGAAAGTTTTCATACAACCACCAGGCTTTGGAGGTGGTCCCCTTCCAGAGGAGACATATCCTTGTTTTGTTTATTTCAGTGTGACTAAGGGTAATTCCTGGCTGGTTGAGTAGAGTTTATTCAGGTGGAAGTCCTTATAAACATGACCGGGGGAGGGGGGGGGTGAGGCAGGGAGGCCAAGGACAACTCTAGCTCCCCCTTAAGCTTTTCACAGTCATATATGGTAACACAGACCCTGTGATGAGCTGTCATACATTCAAGGGGAATTCTGGGTCACCTCCACTCCCACCTGCATTCCCATAGGTTATTATCGAGGTCACTCACACTGGCACTTCATTAACCACTACCTTGTGGTATTGCTAAGTGCCTGGGAGCTCAGGGCTGCTTGCTTCCCCTCTGTGTGTCCTCCTCAGAGCCCCATAGGTGGGCTCACACACACAGGAAGCAGCTGCTCACTGAGGACATGTAGGGGTAAATGAAGAGAATGATTCTGTCCTGAGCAAGTGGCCAGGAATAAAGACACCCCCACCCTAAAGGTGGGTCTGGCTGGCAGCCCAGGGCAGGTGTTTGCAAAGGCTGTGAAATGTGTCTTGTATGACTTTTGGTTTTCCCCCTTCAGAGAGTCTGGTTACTTGATGGCTTCGTATGTCTTTAAAGATTTCCTGGCTGCTTCTCCACTGACATAACAGCAACGTTATGACAGGGCAGATCAGTGGCCTTTCCTGCACAGCAAAGACCTGGAAAAGGGGCTGTGGGAAGGGCTGCCACCAGCAAGGCCTCATAGGTCACAATGGTAGCTTCTTTAACTTGCTTGAGAATTATTCCCCACTGATTTAACCCAGGGTCTCTCTTCTCTCTGTCCCAGGGTGAGGTGAATTGCTGAGACACTGGCATGTAGTCCTGGGTCTGGGTCCCTGCCCATCCCCCAACTCGGTGGAACAGGGAGGGCAGCAGGACACCAGATTTTGCTGCTCTGAGCTCAAGACCCACCTCTGTAACAACTAGTGGTGGGCCTTTAATCTCTCTCACTTTGATTCCCATCTAGAAGATGGAGAACCACTCCCCACCTTTTAGGGATGGGGTCACTCTGTCAAGTGCACCACAAAGACTAACCTGCCCCTTCTGAGCCCAATTTACATCTGTCAGCAGGCTCCTCTGCATTTCTGGAGGTCTAAAAACCTGCCCATACTTAACTCAATTTCAGCTTAGCAGCTCTTCCTAAGAGGTGCTTTCTCTGAGTTTCGACCACCAGTTCTATAAGCTCGGGTTGAATGCCCTGGTCTTTGCCAAGTGCACACATCCTGCGTCACAAAGAAGCTGTATGACATGGTTGCTCATGAAGGAGAAATTATAGGACAGACAGCAGAACACCCTCTTAGGGTATCTCAAGTAAGAATGAGCCTGAGGGGCAGTGCCTGTGGCTTGGTGAGTAGGGCGCTGGCCCCATATACCAAGGGTAGCAAGTTCGAACCCAGCCCCAGCCAAACTACAACAAAAAAATAGCTGGGCATTGTGGTGGGCATCTGTAGTCCCAGCTGCTTGGGAGGCTGAGGCAAGAGAATCGCCTAAGCCCAAGTGCTGGAGTGCTGTGAGCTGTGTGACACCACAACACTCTATTGAAGGTGATAAAGTGAGACTCTTGTCTCCACAAAAAAAAAAAAAAAGAATGAGCCTGAGGACAGCTGGCCCCAAGTATCTCTCTGCCCACTCTCTACAGTGGACATGGACTTGTAGATGCAAGAAATTCCCCAGATTATCCAGATTCATTTCAGCATCGTTTTGAACTGCTCCTGGCCAGAGGTCTATGGGTGAAAAGCTATAACCAACAGGCCTGGTGCTTGCATTTCCCTGTCTCTCTCTCCCTCCCCTGTTAAGGGTCACTGCTCAGAACAACACAGTATACACGAAACAGAGGGCTGGGAAATCCTCCCAGCAGAGGGGACATTAGCTCAGAGAGGGCAGAGCTGGCTCATCAGTTCTTGTGCCCAGGGACATGCCACTTACTTTCATCAGCATAGAATCCTGCAGGACAGAGGGTTATACAGCTGTTCATCTCCTGGTGGTGATAGAACCCACGGCGGCAAGATAGGCACTGCGTGGGGCCCCTGCCAGAGCAGGTCTCACACCCCTTGTGACACCGGCGGCAGCGTCTTGCTCCTGTGTCCCCAAAGTAGCCCAAGGGGCACATGCTCACACACTTCCTGTGGGACAGGGGCAGGAGCAGGAGTGGGTGAGGACCCACAGGACCTTGCCAACTCAGCCCTAGCCTGTGCCCACTCTGTTGCACCATCCTGAGTCAGCAAAGGACCCTAGGGTGAATATAACACTTATGGTCTTTGTGCCGGTGAGTAGAGTTGAGAGTAGAGGTTGGAGCACTTGGATGAGAACCCAGGAGTCCTTTCCTCTCAAAGCAGGCCCCAGTGGGAAGTCCTGAGGCTGTGTGTGGCTTCCTGTAGGCACTATGATGTTGAATTTGACTTTTGGAGCTTTTGGTGCTGCTAAAACCCAGAGTCTTGTGGGCTAGAGCCAGCAAGGTGGCTGTCTTGCACTGTGGCAGGTTGAGTGCATGTGAGGAATTCTAGGACACCATGACAGCAATGTGGGTACCCTGCAGGTACCCTTGTGGGTATGACAGTGTCTTGCATATGCAAGTGTCATCCAGGCCTTAGGATACCCAATGGTCCCCCATCATCTTGGCTTCTTGGGCCTGGAATGTATAGCACATGCTAGGTGCTCAGGAAAGTTTGTGAAATGCATAAACTGACAATACAGCCCCTGTAAGATTGGCCAGGAAGAGAATTTGAGAGAGTGGTGATGCCAGGAGCTAGAGATGCTCAGAGGACAGAGCTCAGGGCCAGAGTGCAAGGCCACACAGGCGTGCACTCACTGCAGAAGGGCAAGCCTGAATCTAGCAATGGGTCCTACGCCTGGTCTGGCTCTGAGTTCCTGATGACTCCTCTGGGGCAAACTTCTGGGGAGCCCTCAGGAGAGCTTCTGCAAAAACCCTGCACCCAGCCAGAGGCAAAAGACACTGAAAAAATGACCAAGAACAGGCCTCAGTCTGTGCAAGAGCTACACCCCTCAGCTGGCCCCGGGAGGTAGACAGTCCTGGGCTCTTGAGTCAGGTTTGTCTGTAGTCCCCATGGGGCAGCCTTAGCATCTCACTATGACCCACTTGTGTTTAACAATGTGGATAGAAAACAGTTTATAGGCACAGACACCAAAGTGCCACAGCTTCTGATTTCTCCATAATAGATATTACTTGTGTGATTAAAACATAATGCCGAAACATCTATAATGTTCTTATTAAACATTGTTTTATACTATAATGTGATTATTTCTGAGGGTGTTATGTTAATTCCTAATTAGGGCATCAGGTTGTGGAGGGGCTAAGAATACAACTAAAAACAGAGCAACTTGGCAGCACACTGCAGGGACTCAGCACATGCATTACCTGCCAGTCTTGGCGCTCCCCAGGCTGAAGTGGATGCAGTTCAAGCATTGGTCTGCGTTGGGGCCATCACAGCCTTTGTTGCCACACTCTGGATGGCACATACCTTAAAGAAACAACATTGCCTTTCATCCAGAGAGATGCCTTCTGGATCAAGTGTACTCTCACATATCCCCTTATTAAGATGTCGTGACTTGGCAGGACAGGGAGAAGCTCTCCTAAGGAGAGGCTGGTGAGCTCTGCTGGGAAATCCAGCATCAGAGAGTTGGAAGCTCTAGACCAGTATTTTTCAACCTTTCTTATCTCATGGCACACTTGAACCTACAGTTAAACTTCCATGGAACACTTAAATTATATTGATTAAAAAAAAAAGAGTAAAAAAATATACTTAACTGTGGCTTGAACTTCTTTTGAAAATAATTTAATTATCTTTAAAACTTTTGCAGCATATAAGTCTCTCTAATGGCACACTGGTTCAAAATCATTGCTCTAGATAACTAAGAGCAAGCCAACAGCCAGAGGGAGGTGTGGGACCCAGATCAGTGGGAAGAGGAACTGGAGAGCCTGGAGGAGAGGTGATGAGGGTGGAAAGGCTCAGAACAACTCTATTCAGTTTATTCTCCTGCACCAGAGCCTTCATGTTGGGACTGGCCAACACTTACGATTTCCAACTGCCACCGGGGGAGGTCATGGCCTTTGGGAAGCTGCTGCAAACAGGGATTTTGCAGGAAGAGGGGAGAGAGAACTCCCTAGAGCTGCTGTGCCAGGAAAGACCATGGATTTGCAAGTGTTCAGGTCTACCCTTTGTGGCTCTCACCAGGCAGGTCTGGGCTGGGGTAGAGACAGAGCCTGACAGTGTTATTCTGCCACTGTCTGTGACAGCTGGGCCCCTTTCAGCATGCCTTCTTCTCCTGGTTCTCTTTATTCCATCCCTCAGCCATGGACCACCACTATCTTCCCTCTAGTTCCCAAATCCTAACTCTGAGTGCCTGTGTGCTGTTGGAAAAGTGACAGAGAGAACTGCTGGGGAGCTCAGTGTCTTCCAGCAACCATCATCCTTCTAGGTCCTTCCCAGGGAGGCCTCAGAGATGAGCCCTTGGGCTGGGGTAGGGCATGTCTACAGAAGGCCTCTCTATCTTGGTCTGCAGAAGTGACAGATAGTGCCCAAAGTGGAACTCCCTGCTTGTCTGCCTACTCATCCCTCCTACATGGGGAAAGTTCTGATGAGACTCAGGGAAGACTAAAAGGGGTATACTAATGCTTTTGAGTTTGAGGAATAATTTTTTTTTTCTCCAAAGTATATAGTTAGGTTGGAGGGCTGGGGGTGGGGAGTGAGTTCCAAAGCAAAGAGGAGTTAATCTGCTGGTCACCTGCATTTGGTGGATAACTTGAAGGAAAGACAAAAGTCCTCATTCTCTGCTGCCTGAAGTGGGGCTTGACTGAGGCACACAAAGCCCTCTTCATTTACCTTTAGAGTCTCCAGACCTTCCCAGGTTTGGACTCAGTTTATTCAGCTTCCCTCCCTAAAGGCTCACCATTGTAGGTATTTCCCGTTTTTTTTTTTTTTTTTGTGGGACCTTGGGTGCCTCTGTTCTCACTGTGAACCCCCTTCAAGCTGTGTTAGCACACTCTAGATGCTTCTCTTGGGCAGTGCTGTGATTTTGGGTGACACTCCCTGCCATATCCAAAGCTCATCGCTGTTTCCCTCAGCTTCAGACTGCCTGTTTTCGAAGCAATTCTCACCTGGCTCGATTCTTTGCCCACCTCATCCCAGGCCATCTCTGAGGGTGTCCTCAGAAATCCTTGCTTCATTGTGCCATTGTTTTTAATTACTCTGAGTGAGAACACAAGCGTGGGCACTGAGCCCTGCCTTCCCACCAGAAGCAGTGGCCTAGTGGTGGCCTTGCTGATGCAGTGATATGAGGACTTCCCTCCCTCCTTGTCCTATAGCACTTTCTCCCTAGGGCCCAGGGAGGCAGCAAGTCTGTCTTGCTTCATAAAGTGAAGAATTTCCTCAATTTTAAGAAGCTGGGGGCAGGGTGAGATAGGGAAGTGACAGATCAGCTTCCACACTCTTTCCAGGCCCAGGAGATGGGGCCTTCAGGTGGGCAGGATTTGGTCTAGCATGCTCACTGCTGTGTTCCCAAATCTGGAATGGCATCTGGCACAGAGCAAGTGCTCAATGAATATTTGCTGAGTGGCTGAAGAGTGAGTGTACAGATCAGAGTGGATGGAGACAGAGAAAGTACAGATGTCCTCACCATTTACAGAGAGTATATTCTAGGATGTCCCAGGAGGGCTCATCCTCAGGGAGGGGCTGGTATGGTACTTCTAGCCACTGGTCCATGGTGTATGACTTTCTGCAGTGGAAAGTTTAATCAATCAATAATCTCAAGGGGGTAGAGTAGGGCACTGGCCCCATATGCTGGAGGTGGTGGATTCAAACCAAGCCCCGGCCAAAAAAAAAAAAAACCTCAAGGGGAGCCAATGCAAGACTGCAGCCACCCAACAGTGAAGGCTGCAGAACCTCCACATGGCAACAAGGTCACCTATAGGTCAGGTTTAGGCCCCCTCTGAGTCAGATGCCTAGACTGATATCTATAAACAAACCTCCCCAGTATGGCTCTCTACTTGAATTGTGTTTAAAAGCCAAATATCAAGATTTATCTCTCCCATGAAATGTTCTTGAATTAAATCCACCCAGCTGGCCATCTTGTTCCGATCACTCTATCATTCTAAGAATGTTCTGGTACAGCTGGAACTCATTCTCAGGCAAGCATATTATTTGGGTTGTAGTTTGTACTTACATCTGCTTTCCCTCTCTCACCAATTAGTGTGAAAGTTCTTCCCTGACTTTGGGGTTGCTTCCCATAATTCCTAGTGGAAGGTGCCAGATACTTGGGGTGCTCCATTAATGTACTGAGCACCCTGGCTGACAGCAGGTCCCCTCTACATTGGCTTAAGAGTGACATAGATTTATCTGAAAACCCCACCTTAAATGCTTTGTAGAGACTATCCAGGATAAAGAAAATACACACACACAAAAAATGTTAAAAAGCAACATGGGAGTCTTCGATGGGCTCTTGTCATAATGTGCTCAGACCAACTGCTGGAGGAAGAGCAGGGTTCAGTATGATCATCTTTTTCTCCATCCAAAAATAGTACACTGGGACCTCACTGTGACAGTACTGGACACAGAACAGCATGGAGCCAACTGACTGCAGACAAGAGGTGCTAACAAGAACAAGCAACATTCACTACAAATCTGGTCTCTTTCCTGACTGCTGTATTCCCTGGGCAAGTTTCTTAATGCCTCTGGGCCTTTCTCTTCATCTGGGGTGACCACAGACCTGCTGAGTCCATGGCTCCACACTGTCCTGTGCTAGACACACCTCTCAGCCTGTAAAGCAACTCCTGTGTACCTCTCAAGCTATCCTGATACCCCTCTTCCAGACAACACTGCTTGGGCTCCCCAGTCTTCTTGCAGTTCTGTGTGGATAACTACACTGTCCTGAGCCATCCTCAGCCCACCCAGCTTCCTTTGCTCAATGACTGCTTATTTCCCGAGCCCCAGGCTTTCTTGTGTTCCTGTGACAGTTCTTTCCTGGCCTCTTGGCCACTCTGTTGTAGGAACCTGAGCCCCTACCTGCCTGCTTGCCTCCTGTCCTTACCCTTGCTGGTTTCAGCATCTGCTGGCTCTGCAAGCCCACGCCACCTCAAGTCACCTAGAATGTTGGCTACAATGCAGACTCTGAGCACCCCACACCTGCTGAAGCTACGTTTCTCTGTGGGGCCAGCCCCAGCTGTCCTCCTCAATCCAGCATCCTGGTGAGTTCCTGGGTGGCCTCCAGCTACACTCTGGCCTAGCAGGGCAGCCAGCTCCACAAAGCTGTTCACCTTCAGTACCTTTCCCGCCTGCTGAGGCTGCAGCCCTTTCTCTCCGCTAGACTCTCTGGTCCCCAGTCCTCCCTTTCAGTGGGCAATCTCAACTGCTGCCATCCTGGGACCTTTGTGTTTGTGAGCATTTCCCAGGCTTTTCTCTTGCACCTCCTCCATTTCTCAGCAATTCTTCTTTTATCCACAGGGTCCATGGGGAGCCTCTGCTGGCCTGGACCCATTACCCACAATGTACCATACCTATGGCCAGCTCTCCGCATTCTGGATGCCCCATCTCACACTCTCTTTGGCCTTGCCATAGACTTTAAGGTGGCCATTTACCCATTTTCCCTTGCCTTCCACACTGTGGCACCCTCCGGTTCTGATGTCTCTATCACTCTGTCCCTGCCTCTAAAGGGGCTCTCCCTGCCATTCCTGGTCTGCCTGTCCCACTTCTGCCTGAGAGTTGCAGGAAGTGCCCCTGAGGACTAACAATGTATCTCATTCCCCTAGAGAAATCCCCCTGCCCATTTGGGCCATGTTCCCTAAAGACTAGGTGATTGAAACTGCAGATCAGAACCATGATAAGGTGCTAGTCTGCAAGCCTGAAGTCAGCAAAAGATTTTAAGAAAAAAGAAAAATAAGCCTTTTATTAATAATTACTGAATCTTGCCATAGTTTATAAATCACAGGGGGAAGAGAAAAGATTAGTCCATACATAATTCAATGCTCTGTTTTAAAGGAATAGTAGGAGAAATTTAAAATGGAATCAACCATAATTTATGCTTGATTTATACTGGTGAAATTCTCCATCCTGTTATTTTTTCAGAAGATATTAGATAACTCAAAGCATCAATAATCTTAGATATTATCCATCATTGACCAAATAGCCATAATTTTCAGTTAAAGAAAATATGCCCAACCATAAACACCCCATTTTGTACAAATCACCATAGGATGGCTCAAAGGGAAAGGAACAGCTTCCAACCTAACATGCTCATAAAATGTGTGCCCAGCCAAGTGGCTGGATATGTCTAGCCCTCTTTGGGTTGCCATGGCTTCTGGTTGCCTCGCAGAGTAAGCTGGTAGCCCAGAGCCAGGGACCACCTTGGCAATGGGATGAAAAAAAGGATTGGTACAAGGTATCTTTACATGGTTTGGAATTTTTAAGATCTTTTGGGTGTCATCAGTATCTACTGACATTGTTTCTTGAGAACTCCTCCTGGGTTTTCAACCCTGGCCCTCGGGGGCTGGTTAAAAGCTCTGCTGTTAGACTCCTTTCCCAGCTGTGCTCACTGAACTCAACCTTCACTTTGTCCTTCACACATCCTGGCCACAAAGACTGAGAATGGACAGACCTAAGAGAGTCAATAGGCTGAGTCAGGAGTGGGGGCCTGTGATGAAAAGAGGTGCTCCTGGAGGTGGCTAATTAACTAGGGGCAAGTCCTGGTTCTGGTTGGGCATATGAAATCTTGCTTTCCCAGCCTGGGAAGGTTAGAGAATACTTACAGGTTTGAAGCATACTTACTGGTCTGTAAAATAATAGGAGAGCCTTGGGTGGGAGGAGCTGTGTGAGTGCAAATTTCCATCATTATTATGGCTCCAGGCAAAAAAGGACATAATCATAACCCCCACCTTGTGTCAGGAACAGCCCCACACTTTAATAGATACAGTGGAAAAATGAAGCTTGCAGAGGCTGGCCCTCTCCTCTAGCTTCAGGCTCATTACCTGTGTAATCTTCTTCATCCTCAGGATTCTCAACCTGGGATGGTGGCAGAGCAGCCTCGGGTGGCTCCAGCTCTGGGGCTGAGAACTCCAACATCCGTGAGCGGGACTGATGGGAGCTGAAGGTGTGGTATGGGTGCTCTGCCGTGCCATACAAAATGAGGCTCCATTCTTTCAACTTCCCTGGAAGGTAGCAAATCCACAGAGTCACCTTGGGAAGCTCTCGATGTGCCTGTGGCTGCCCTGGCCTGTGCAAAGGCCTCCATCATTCACAGAAATAAATGCCAGGCACTGCCTGGCTCCTTGTCACACAGCTATGCTCTGGCTTGACACCTTTACTTCCTGGTTACCTGCTGGCCAGGTACACCTTCTGCCCAGGCCACATGTCACCTCCCCAGTATATTATTTCTATAAGCTGATGCACTTCTACATGTCCTGTCCCTGCTGGGATGGGGCCCTCCCAAGTTGAACTACCCATAGTCCTGGAGACTGTGTTCTGCCCTTGGTCTCCCTGCATCCTCCCTTGCTCCTGCCTTCCCATGACTATGAATAGCCACCTTCCCCTCTTGTGATATCCAGTGGGTTGATCTGGTGCCAGGTGTGGCCATGAGCCTTGTCCCGAAGCCTCCAAATGTGATGACTGCATTGTACAGAGGAATCCTGCTACTGGATCACAGGAAGACTCAGTCTTGGGTCTTTCTCTTGCTAGGCCAGGGCAGGTGGGGGAAGTTCCTAGGGGGTGGCAGTGCTGGTCCAAACCCAAATGCTTAGACAGGCTGAGTGGAGGGGAGACCCTAGCCAGACTGCATGGGGGAAACAAAAGACAGACAAGCATGGGAAAGGCAGAACTGACAGGATAGCACCTCACTAAGATGGGGCAGCAGGGAGCCCATTTGACCAAGTGCCTCTGCAAAAGAACAACAGCCCATGTGGCTACGTGTTTTCAGATGAAAACAGGCATACAGAAAAGTGAGCAACCCAGCCTGAGGTTTCTAGCTGAATTCCTTTTTGAGACAGAGTCTCATTATGGCGCCCTCCGTAGAGTGCTGTAGCATCACAGCTCACAGCAACCTCAAACTCTTGGGTTTTTTTTTTTTTTTACTGTTGGAGATTCATTGAGGATACAAGAAACCAGGTTATACTAATAGTGTTTGTTAGGCAAAGTCCCTCTTATAATTGTATCTTGCCACCAAAAGGTCTGTTACACACCAAGATCTTGGGCTTAGGTGATTCTCTTGCCTCAGCCTCCCAAGTAGTTGGGACTACAGGCACCCGCCATAACAGCCCGTTATTTTTTTGTTGCAGTTGTCATTGTTGTTTAGCAGGCCCAGGCCGGGTTCAAACCCGTCTGCCTCAGTGTATGTGGCTGGTGCCCTACCCACTGAGCTATGGGTACCAAGCCTCCAGGTGAATTCCTGATGTTATAAAACACATTATAGACCATCTCTGACTCAGGATGGTTCCACTTACAACTTTGCAACCTAACAGTGGTATGAAAACAATGCACATTCAGAACGCTTCTTAAGATCACATCTGGACAAATCTACCTTAGGTTGAAGACACCATTGAAATAAACTATTAAACTTAAACTATCTTCAACTTAAGGTAGGTTGTTAAGGAACATCTACACTAGTAAGTAACACAGACTTGTGTGTACTGACTTAGCTGTAGGGTACTGATTTAGGCTTTTTTTTTTCACTATAGTGTCCCTAGCATTCACAGGAGGGTAACTGTGTTCAGAAGGTCATCAGCTTTACAGATGGAGCCAAGGTCCAGTACGACCTGCCTGAGGATATGCTGCTCATGCTGCTGGGACTCCCTGCCTCTCAGTCCATCAGTGTTTGTTGATAGCCAGATCATCTCAGCAGGTAACACACAGGTACTAGCTGCGAGCCCCTCGATGGGGACTCAAGAGGGACTGTGCTGAAAAGATCTCTGGAATCCTCTTCTTTTTCTGTCACTGGGTTTCTTGGCAATCAAGATGCTTTAGGCAAGGAGAAATATTGCTCTGATTCTTAGGTATTTATTGTGTCTTCACTGTCACTTTCCTCTGTTCATGCTGACTATCCCTTTGCTCTGAACAGAAAGCCTGTCTTTGGATACCTACCTAGTTACTGTTTCTGCAAAGTGGGCTGTGCTACCAGTATAAATTCATCTTTGTTCTAATTCTGAGACTCATTCGGCCTCCCTAAATCACAGAACAGGGACCCCAGGTCATCAGTAGTCACAAGCACATGGGCTGTGACCCAGGCAGTCCTGGCCAATAGATGGGTGGGAGATGGGCACAACTGGCCCTGCAGTGCACTGGGCCAAACTCTGGTGCTGCTCTAAGTGGCATCTGGCTTTGACCTGGTCACATGGCATGGCACATAACAGCACTTTTTGTTTTAATCATCTCCCTAGCTAAGTACTGGGTCCCTAAAGCCTGTAGTCCCCAAGGTGCCCTAAGTCAGGCCCTGTATTGCTCCAATCTCTCAGCCTGGTCAGGATTAGAGGATATAGGTGAAGCTCTTCAATTTGCAAAAGTATTCCTGAGTGAACTATCTGAATCCTTTGTTAAAAGGATTTGTTTTATAAAATTTGAATTCAGCGGAGGATTCTGGGAAGATGGCCGACTGGTAGCAACCCTGGTCAGAGGCTCCTGAGCAAAGGAAGAAAAACTGGTTGGAATCAGAATCTATGAAGCCAAAGACAGGGAGCTGAGTCCAGAAAGAAGTTCGGAAAGCTGTAAATCCAAGGAAGAACATTTAAGAACACAAAATACAGGTACAAAGCAGGCCCCAGAACTGCTTGCTAGAGCTGCACGCTTCCTGTGGGCTGCGGGTGGCCACAGAGGAGTCCCCTGCTCTGGGAGGACTCAGAACTGCTTGCTAGAGCCTTGCGCACCCCACGGGCAGCAGCAGAGGAGATCCTGGCTCCAGGGCTCTGGACAGGCCCAGAACTGCTTGCTAGAGCTGCATGCCCCCTGCAGGCGGTGGGTGGTCACAGAGGAGTCCCCTGCTCTGGGCAGCCACAGAACTACTTGCCAGAGCCTCGTGCGCCCCACGGGCTGCAACGGAGGAGTCCCCAACTTTGGGTGGGCCCAGAACTGCTTGCTAGAGCCCCGCAGCCCATGGGCGGCAGAGAAGATCCCCACTCCAGGGCTCTGGGTGGGCCCAGAACTGCTTGCTAGAGCTGCACATCTCCCACGGGCAGTGGGTGGCCACAGAGGAGTCCCCTGTCTCAGGCAGGCACAGAACTACTTGCTAGAGCCATGGGCGCCCCACGGGCAGTGGCGGAGGAGTCCCCCACTTGGGGCAGGCCAAGAACTGCTTGCTAGAGTCGCATGCCTCACGGGCGGCAGAGGAGATCCTCACCCCAGGCTCCTGCTCTGAGCAGGCCCAGAACTGCTTGTTGGTGCCACGGATGTCCAGTGGGCAGTGGTGAAGGAGTCCTCTGTTCCAGGCAGACCCAAAACAGCTTGCTAGAGACACACACCCCCCACGGGGGCTAGCAGAGGAGTTCCCCACTACAGGCACGGGCACTGGGTGGGCCCAGAACTGCTTGCTAGAGCCACACGTGCCCTGAAGGTGGCAGTGGAGGAGTTTACTGCTCTGGGTGAGCCCAGAACTGTTTGTTAGAATATGACCCACGGGCGGAGGTGGAGTTCCTGCTTTGGGCTCCTGCGCTGGGAGGGCACAGATTGGCTTGCTAGTGCCACACGCGTCCAGCGGGCTACAGTGAAGGAGTCCTCTGCCCTCCCCCCTCCAGCTACTCTGGCAGGGTTGAACTAGGACTGATCTGGTCACTCGCATGCCCTGTGCTACTGCTGCCATTCCCCCACCCCCTGGCTGCTCCAGGGAGGCTGAACTAGGACTGATCTAGCGACTACAGTTCCCCTGTTCCACTGGTTGCCCCAGCTTGGCCAAACTAGGACTGATCCGGCTGCTGTCAGTCTCCTGCCCCCCGGTCACCCCGGCAGGCCGAATGAGGTCTAATCCAGCTATGCACACTCCCGTGCAGCTGCTGCTGTTCCACTGCATCCTGGTTGCCCCAGCACCCGAAACTGGGAGAGGACAACAGACATGCTCTGCCTGTCTCTCTGGGTATCCAGAAGAAGCCACCAACTGAACGGTTCTGATAAGGCCTCCAAACAAGGTAAACTCAGCAAGGGGCAGAATCAGCGGAATAACTATGGCAACTTGAATAACCAGAGTAGATCAACTCCCCCAAGGAAAAATGGGGTAGATGCAATTGAAGACACCATCCATAAACAGATGGCTGAGATGTCAGAAATTGAGTTCAGATGTGGATAGCAAATAAGATTAACAGAATGGAAGAAAGGAAGAAATTAGGAGTTCAAGAAATTATTCAAAAGATTTCTCAAGAAATTATTCAAAAGATATCTCAAGAAATTATTCAAAAGATGTCTCAAGAATTCAATGATTTCAAAGATAAAAATGATCAAAGATTTTGAAACACTGAGACAAGAGGTTGCAGCCAAGAGGTTGAACCAAGAGGTTCCAAGGATCTGAAAGAGACAGTGGAATCTCTCCGTAACAGAGTGGAACAGGCAGAAGAAAGGATCTCTGATTTTGAAGACAAAGCTTTTGAAGAAGCTGAGGAGCACAAAGATCAAAAGAAATGGAGAGCAAAAACAGATCTCACTCTCAGAAAGCTCTCGGATAATTTGAAGAAAACTAATATTTGCCTTATAGGAATCCCTGAAGGTGATGAAGTTACTTCACAAAACATAGAGGCTCTTCTTCATGAAATTATGAAAGAGAACTTTCCAGACATGCCAAGAGATTCTGAAATTCAGATAGCAAGATAGTTTCAGAACCCCAGCATGATTCAACCCGAACAAGATATCCCCCAGACACATCATAATTAACTTCACTAAAGTTAAGATGAAAGAGAAAATTCTGAAAGCAGTCAGATGTAAGAAAACCATAACCTACAAGGGGAAGAGTATTAGGATGAC